ATCGGCGAATAGAAGGTGAGTAACTTCGCCGAGCCCGCCTTGATCATCCATGGAAAAGCCTTTAATTTTGCCGTTTTCTTTCAGCTTGTTTATCATGAAATCCAAGACGTCCATAACCAAAGAGAAAAGACCCGAGGAGAGCGGATCGCCTTGACGGAGCCCTTTGTGCATAGGAAAAAATCCGTGCGATTCTCCATTGACGAGGATGGAGATAAGGGGAGAACACATTGTACCTTGGATCCACTTAATCCATTGCGAGGGGAACCCGAGCTTGGATAGAATCTTGAAGAGGCAGTTCCAGTTAAATCTTGTTGGAGGAGGTATTTCCTGTTAAATCTTGTTAAATCTTGTTGGAGGAGGTACTCGAGTTGGGTTTGTCAACTATATATTGGATTGGCGTGTATTTGTTTTTTTTTTTTACTACAAAATCTAGGTTAATGTTCAATTCACATCGACTCTTAATGTATGAATTTGACAGATTGATAAATTAATGAGGATAATTCTTGATTCCGTTTTTAGCTAATTTCCATCACTTACTATTCGAAGGATATATATTGCATCTTAATTATACATTTTATATTACTAATGAAATATCATCTACAATCCATGAGCCTAACTAGGGGATCATCGCCAGATGGCCAGCCACGATCGAGAGGCATAGCTAAGTACCTATCTATCTGGGTAAAACATGCTCCGCCCCATCTGATGATCTCGAATTATTGAAGCAATTAATTGAGCCAAATTACTTAATTAATGTTCTCCAATGATAATCTCGCCGGCCCATCTTCTTCTTCTTCTTCTTCTTAATGTTATTTTATTTTACATGTTAAATGCAAGGGTTTCAATCAATAAAAAGAATATTGACATCATGACATGTATATTAGAGCTACATTTCCATGTGTAATTGTAACATCAAACCTAACACAATTCATTCAACTGTCCTCATTAATTTAAATAAAACTATGTAGGTACCTGAGATTGCAAGTCACTCGTGGGTAGGGATGATAATTAAACGTAAACTTATAAGTATCCAATCGGATTCAATCCGATCAAACCATGTAAAACTCAGTGTTGACGGATTTTTGGTCGGGTACGGTTTTACCGTCTTTGAAATTGGCGGGTTGGATTGAGTTTGGGTTTTGCCAAAATCCAATCCATTATCCGCCCAACTCGCACCTAGAAAGCAAAATGACGTCATTTTGTATCTACATGAACAATATGGATAAAGTTTATGAATGTTAATACTTTATGTCTGTAGAAATAGAATAATAACTCATACGGATAATTTATGGATGTTATTAGTTTTTATAGATGTATATTTGAAGAAAAATTTCAATAATGTTACAATATGAATGTTCGAAGAAAAATATATAATTATATTCGTAAGTTCATGGATATTCATGCACCCATGGGATGTGCTGAACTGAGTTGGATTTGATTTTATAATACCAATGATAATTTTACAGAGTTTTTGAGTTGGTGCATCGACTGAATTATTGTTTGGAATATTGAAATTTTTTATCTAACCCGACTCATTTTCATCCTACTAAACATACTAATGTGATATGAGATGACGAAGCGATTGGATTGGAGAAAGGTATGGGAGTAGATGAACGTAGCCACGGCCCCGGCTGGCGGGTATCTGTCGGTGGGAACATTTGATTTGAGCTAATGGGGTTTGAAGTAACATGCACTCACTCCATTTCCCCACATCCACGTGCACGGATGTGTATTATCATTCATGTTCGGGACGGGAGATATATCATTATCATATATATACATACATACATACATGTAATAATATCGTAATAACCAAATTATTTTTGAAAGAGAAAGAAAGCATATACACGAAGTTGAATGGAAAGGAATCACCCCTTGCATTTATCTATCTGTATATATAATAAGTATGTGTGTGGTGTGGTGGATAGAAATGGATTGATTAGCACGTAGATGCTGTTATATATATGTCAATGGATTGGATATATAATTATTTGTGACAATCAACTTATCATATTGCTAGCGATGCAATATAGGATCTGGATAAGACAACATTTCACTAGGCATGAGAGTACTAACAGACATAAGTATCGAAACTCTTTTTCGTATGCGCACATCATTAGCAAACGTCTCAAAATCTGTCATCTAGAACGCTTTGGTAAATAATGCATGTGATTGAAATATCACTTACTCGCATGCACATTGTTTATCACAGCTTGTTGTTTAGCTTAGCCATATATTGAAACTTTTATGAACCCATTAACTAATTAATGAATTGCATCAAAACTTAATTATCATTGATTTGGATAATTAACCCGTAATATTTAACGATCCACTGCGTTCGATATGTTCCGTACGAATTTATTGATGCAATCAGCCAAATGGCGGTGCCGGTGATAGCATGCGCGCGGCGGCGTCTAGGATCGGGACGGAGGGAGGGAGGGGAATTTGGAATACCGAGGCGATGAGGAATCCTTGATAACCCAGTAGTAACTCCACTCCACTCCACTCACCGCCCTGCCTGGCCTGGCCTGGCTCCCTCATAAAATCACTCATCAATCCCCATCCTCGCCGTCCGCCTTTCCTTAGCTTAGCTACCTTTCGAATATTAGAATTTAATTATTAGGATTTTTATTTTTCACTTCCTTTTTGTAGGAGGAAAAGCAGGCGGAATATATTTCTATTTCTAGTTCTAGTTCTAGTTGATACTTGATAGTATAATAAAATATAAATACTGATGTCAGGTCAAGTAGACAAGTCGGGGCTCCAGTAACCCAACCCGACTGCCGTCTCCCCCTTTATCGCCGGCTGCCACCCATCGCGCCTTAGAACATGCACTCCACTCTCTTATCTCGGACGAATTAAAACCTATAATAATTATTTATAGCATAAATCATAATAATATACCCTTCTTACTATGAAACTAAGATAACAAAATTCGGTTCATTCTATATTACAGGGGAAGCTAAGATTATTTCTTTCCCCGTCTCAATTTCCTCTGGATAATCTACCGGAATCCGGTAACGTTGTGGCCCATAAATAATATCCCTGTTTCGTCGCTAATTCTTGATATATACCCGATATGCAAGGGTATCAAGTATAGTAGAGAGATGATGTCGCCTAACCAAACCAAAGCACTTCTCGACTAAACTATAGTGATTTTAGTGGATGAGAACTTTTCAACCTCGTAGTTGTTAGTTCACCCTATAACAACTAATTTGGTAAGATGGTAATTAAGGGATAGACCGTCTTGAGATTAACATGATGTGCTTTGTCTTATTCAATCGTTAAAAGAAAAACGAATGAATAGAGTGAAAAGCGTTACGATATCGGTATCCCGATATAAAATACTAAAATTATTCTAAAATTAACCTCAATTCTAAAATAAATTTGGTGTCCCATTGAATGAATTCATTAAATGTTATCATTTGAAACTAAGAGAGACTACGAAAATGCATTGAGTTTAACTAGAGTTAAGGTAGGGACATGGACAATGGAGCCTACAGTAATATCTCAATTTCTTCCATTGGTAATCCTTCATTCATAGATTGGATAGTGAGAGACAACTAATTGGTAAGAATGTCCACTTTTTGTGTTATGAAAATAACAAGAGATTAAGTGAAAGACGAGTAACATAGAAAATTGGAAAGCCGATCTTGGATTGGATGGGAGTTTGCAAGTTGCCAAAGTAAGGATCATAGGTTGTGACTTGTGAGCTACATTCAATTAATTATATATTTATATATTGGTATTTCTATGTATACGGATCGTAATTCCAAATACTCCATATTTGATAAAACCAAATAATAATAAATTCGCTTCCATATCCAGCATAATACCAAATACTAGTACACTACTTCCTGTTTTACCTCGTGATTTTATTACGAAAACAAATTATTAGAAAAAATGCACTGTCCCAACTCACATCCCTAGCCAATTGAACTCTAATCCACTTTGATTACAAATCCATTATAAAGAACGTTGTATTCCAAGTCATACCTACCTATATCGTATTATTTAGCTGATTTTTTTTTCAATAGTTTGCATTGTATTATTTAATAATAATTAGTATTTAAACAATCTATGATATATATTTTTTATTTTAAATTATTAACGAGATATATTTGCTAATGTGCTCAAAGTCTTAAAGATCATATGTAGTGAGATACATAGAATAACAAACCTATAAATTATCAACAAGTCATTTCATAAACGATAAATTGATTCATTAAAACCTGCTAATCGAGATGGCTTGTTAGACACTTTCTGGTCAGCCCATATCACAAGACGAGATAGCTCACGAGGTTAGGGTAACAAAACATAGAATCAAGCTGGCTCACCATCCTTGCGACCAAGAAAGACTTACATCAAACTTTACTCGTTAATAAATAAGTTGAATCTCAAACAATTTTTTTTTTCCGAATTGAATACAGAACTCCTATAGTCCTAGTCACCAGGTTGGGCATTAGCATACGGTGTTTTCGTTTCCATTTCTTAGCAAGTGGAGAGGACATGTACCAAGAAGCAAAAAGGAAGAAACAAAGAATGAGGGATAAAGAAGAAAGGGGTTAAATTAGGAATTGGTGATTATACTTTTGACTAGTTGTTTGGTAATCCTATTATTGGGTTACCTAAACAGTAAATCAGGAGCGGGATTTGGGGAGATTAATTCCACAATAATAATAAATAAGTATTTATTTTAAAAATCAGCAGTCATTTAGGATTTAGGCCCACTGGAGGGAAGGGTGTCCCAGGCAAGTCATTCTTCTTTCTTCATCATTTTGCATTAGCCATTGCATTGCATGCAGGCAGGCACACCCCTTGAGGGCCGCCTAGTGGACCCTGGAACTGGCCCTGGTCATGGCCCAGCATCCACCACCTCTGCCTGTATTTTTGTAATATATTTTTCCATGTATTTTTGCTCTCATTAGACTAGGTATAGTAGTTGTATTATTTATTTGGGTGATGTATTCTGTAATTAAGTTAAGCAACCAAAAAAAAAGGAAGAATTTTCTAAAAAGAAATAATAGAAAAGGCATTTATTGGGGAAGGGCGATGGCCTCCTTTTTCTTCTCAAAAGATATATAAAAGGAGAGGCGTAGAGGCGCCGGAAAGCGGGTCTTCCCATCTCAGACTTTCTCTCTGATTCCCTCGCTTCCCTGCGCTGCTCTGGCTCTGGCTCTGGCTGCGCGGTCTCCACTGAGTTCTCTCTGTACCGGGCCTTTCCATTGACAAGTTCGAGGTCTCCCCTCCCCTCCCCTCCCTTATTAATACATGGCTCATTAACAACTCTTCCCTCGCTCACTGAATCCATCCGCTGCTGCAGGTTCATCCCCCTCCCAACTTCTTCTGCTCCTCTCCGATAACACTCTCACAGCCGCCATCGGCTCTCCCGCTTCTCTCTCCTAATTAGGGCGAAGATGGCGAAGAACATCAGCCTGGAGGAAATAAAAAACGAGACCGTGGATCTGGTAATTAAATCGATTCCCCCCTCCCTTTCACCTACCGTCTTCTTTTCCCCCGCACAAATATATGTCTACCGTCTGAGATCTGTGTGATTGCGTCTTGTTATTCAATTCTTCTGTATGTACGTGTTTCTCTAGCTTTAATCTGTTCAATTTCATTTTTGATTCGCCCAGCTAAGAGTTGCGGGATTAACCTGATCTCGCTTTGTATCTTCGCCTATCTTAGCTGCTTTCTCCTGCAAAAATCCCTTTCCTCTTCCGTTTTGTTTTCACATAATTACAACTGCTACCTCTGCTAATAGTAAAATTGATTCAGTGGTTGGTAAAAAAATTTTCTCGCGGCCTCTGTTTTTGTGTGTTTGCGTTTGCTATTCTTTGTTTTATGTTTTCGGCGAGTAGTAGTAAAGAAAAGAGAGAGCAACTGAGGGAGGGGAGGGAAACAGTCAACAATAAGCACAGGGCCCATCAGGGGTATCCTATACCAAACTTTTCCCTTCCTTTTCCGTGGTACTTTTTTTTTTTTTTTAGAATAATAATTGTTATTACGGGCACAAGAAGATAAAAATGGGTGGAAAACAAAGGAAACCCTGCCAAGTGCCAACCATTTCTGGTTCCTCAGAGATAAACACCATTCCATATTTCCCCCTTTTCCTTCCATTTCCATATATTCGATCAATTTCTTCCTCTCTGGTTTCAGTCGATGGATAGACGGTGGGGTAAGGGAGGATAACGATTAGATTTCACCATTCTAGGACTATTAATTAACTACTCCTTTCTGTTACTTAATTTCATCAGTTTTATCTTGGACTTTGGGAGCCCTTCGACCACCACCACCACCACCGGTCTTTCTGGTGCGGTGGTGGCGTGGGGGCATGTGCCTTCTTTTTCTTTGTTGCTATAACGGACCAATCACATGCACACAAAACAACAAATCGGAATAAATAAATAAAAAAGGAGGGTTGTTGTTCGTTGGCCCGATGTCCCCACCCACAGCCCGCGCCACTACTCACGGGTCAACGCCAAAACTTTCTTGGTTTTTCCCGCCGGCCTGCTCCCACTTGGGTTGCTTTATGCGGCAAGTACTGCCGTACTTTTGACGGCAAGGGGATTAGGGATTTTGGATGACCCAGCTATTAGTGTGTACAATAATCAATTTAATTAACAGCAGTAAAATAGATCAAAACATGATCAGTCTAAATCACATCAAACTGCTATGGCTTTTCTTTTTCAACCCGAAACATGTTTTGTTAGCTTCGTTTCCCTGATTTAACTGGCTTAACCGAAATCATGAAACGATTCTGAAGTTGATCTAGCCTAGCTTAGCTGGTTGACCCAATAAGTGTACATGCTGGCCAATCTGTAACTGGAATATCTGTTATTTATATTTAGTGCTCTGAAGGCACAATAACACTGTCATGATCTGGATTGTTATGATGGACGTATATATATGTATGTGTGGCTGCAAGTGCATGTGTGGCTCGTGGTTTCCCCAAGATAACCAGGTTATCAAGTTTAGATTCTGTGTCGTGCTCTGTCTGCTCACAATTGTTCTTCTGTGGAAATATACAGGAAAAGATCCCTCTCGAGGAGGTGTTTGAGCAGCTGAAATGTACCCGGGAAGGTTTGTCCTCCGACGAAGGGGCCAACAGGCTCCAGATCTTCGGCCCGAACAAGCTCGAAGAGAAAAAGGTCTGCTCGTCACCTTTTTTTTTTTGTGTTGTATCGATTATCCATGCACATTTCACTTTCCACCGAGGTAAACAATATTCATGATTTAGCATTCCTTTCATTGAACAGGAGAGCAAGGTTCTCAAGTTCTTGGGTTTCATGTGGAATCCGCTGTCATGGGTTATGGAAGCTGCTGCCATTATGGCTATTGCCTTGGCAAATGGCGGTGGAAAGCCACCAGATTGGCAAGACTTTGTTGGTATTATCTGCTTGTTGGTAATCAACTCCACCATTAGTTTCATCGAGGAAAACAATGCTGGTAATGCTGCTGCAGCTCTCATGGCTGGTCTTGCCCCTAAGACCAAGGTAAATTGTTTAATCATATGATTGTTTGGATATAATGCTTAATCGATGCAATAAGCACCTTGGTTACACTTCGGGGATATTTTGCTTGTTGTGGATATAGGTTCTTAGAGATGGTAAATGGAGTGAACAGGATGCTGCAGTCCTTGTTCCAGGAGACATCATTAGTATCAAGTTGGGTGACATCGTCCCTGCTGATGCCCGCCTTCTTGAAGGTGATCCCTTAAAGATCGATCAATCAGCCCTCACAGGAGAATCACTTCCTGTAACCAGGCACCCAGGTGATGAGGTTTTCTCTGGCTCCACTTGCAAACAAGGAGAGCTCGAGGCTGTTGTTATAGCAACTGGGGTCCACACATTCTTCGGGAAGGCTGCACATTTGGTGGATAGTACCAATCAAGTTGGACACTTCCAGCAAGTTCTAACTGCTATTGGGAACTTCTGTATCTGTTCCATAGCAATTGGAATAGTCATAGAGATTGTTGTCATGTACCCAATTCAGCACCGTCCGTACAGGCAAGGAATCGATAACCTCCTTGTTCTCTTGATCGGAGGTATCCCTATCGCTATGCCCACAGTCTTATCTGTGACAATGGCTATCGGATCCCACAAGCTTTCTCAGCAAGGAGCTATCACCAAACGTATGACTGCCATTGAGGAGATGGCTGGCATGGATGTTCTGTGCAGTGACAAAACTGGAACCTTGACCCTCAACAAACTCAGCATCGACAAAAACTTGATTGAGGTGTTTATTAAAGGTGTGGACAAGGAATATGTCATCCTGAGTGCTGCCAGGGCTTCTAGGGTTGAGAATCAGGATGCTATCGACGCTTGTATGGTTAACATGCTTGCTGACCCTAAGGAGGTAAAAGAAATTCCTATCACTCTGTGAAAGAGATTCCTGACCTATTCTACTCTGCAATAACACAATTATTCTGCAGGCAAGAGCAGGTATTCGAGAAGTCCATTTCCTCCCATTTAATCCTGTGGACAAAAGAACTGCTCTCACTTACATCGACGAATCCAATGGAAAATGGTACCGTGCAAGTAAAGGAGCTCCAGAGCAGGTAACTTGTACTTCCTTGTATCTTCTTGTACTTCTGGTTTTGATTCTTAACGCTTTATCCTTCCTGAATGTTATCAGATCCTGGAGCTGTGCCACTCAAGTCAAGATCTGAGGAGGAAAGTCCACTCTGTTATTGAGAAATTTGCTGAACGTGGGCTTCGGTCGTTAGGCGTTGCTAGGCAGGAGGTGCCAGAGAAAACAAAGGAAAGCCCTGGTGGTCCCTGGGAGTTTGTTGGCTTGTTGAACCTCTTCGATCCTCCTAGACATGACAGTGCTGAAACAATCCGCCGAGCTCTTCAGCTTGGAGTGAATGTCAAGATGATCACTGGTAATCTGAAATAGTCTATCCCTTCATTGGATACTGACCTGCATTGTGAAATAATTGTTGCTGATCATTTCTACACTTTTTTCCATTGTGATTCTAGGCGATCAACTCGCTATTGGCAAAGAAACTGGACGAAGACTTGGGATGGGAACAAATATGTATCCATCTGCTGCCCTGCTGGGTCAGGATAAGGACTCAAACATTGCTGCTATTCCTGTTGAAGAGCTTATCGAGAAGGCTGATGGTTTTGCTGGGGTTTTCCCAGGTGAGAGGGGCTACTTTTGTTTATAAGCTATCATGTTTTTGGTTCATTTGATTATTTCCCCCCATAAGCACTGGTTATCTTCTCCTTCTCCAGAGCACAAATATGAAATTGTGAAGAAGTTACAAGAGAGGAAGCACATTGTTGGGATGACTGGTGATGGTGTGAACGATGCTCCTGCTTTGAAGAAGGCTGACATTGGTATAGCTGTCGCTGACGCTACAGATGCTGCCCGAAGTGCTTCCGACATTGTTCTTACAGAGCCTGGTCTGAGTGTTATTATTAGTGCAGTGCTGACTAGCAGAGCCATTTTCCAGAGAATGAAAAATTACACTGTAAGTTTGCACTGATCCTAAAACATACTCCACTAATCTTTCAACCTCTTTCCCTGTCTTGTGATATTCGAACTAAGACTTTCTTCGCACCCATTTCTCTTTTTGCAGATTTATGCAGTCTCCATCACTATCCGTATAGTGGTAAGTAGATGGCTGTACAAACACTTAAAACTTATGCGGTAAAAGAAAAGATGTTTGGTCCTAATTTGTTGTTCCTTTGCAGTTTGGTTTCATGCTTATTGCTCTGATCTGGAAGTTTGATTTCTCACCTTTCATGGTTCTGATCATTGCCATCCTCAACGATGGTTAGTTTCCACCGAGCATGAACTAGTGCCGCAGTATCATAATCTAATAGCATACTGATTGTTTTCGGCTTTGTACATTTGCAGGTACGATCATGACAATCTCAAAGGACAGAGTGAAGCCATCCCCTCTGCCGGATAGCTGGAAATTGAAGGAAATCTTTTGCACGGGAGTGGTGCTAGGTGGCTACATGGCCTTGATGACTGTCATATTCTTCTGGGCAATGCATAAGACAGACTTCTTCTCTGTGAGACATGAGAATTGTTACATATATTTAATCAAGTCATCTCAATCTTTTGGTACGAACAGAACTAACAAGAATGCGTCAAACTTGGCAATGCAGGACAAATTTGGAGTGAAGTCTATCAGGGACAGCGAACATGAGATGATGAGTGCGCTGTACCTTCAAGTGAGTATAGTGAGCCAGGCACTCATCTTTGTTACAAGGTCACGTAGCTGGTCATTTGTGGAACGCCCTGGCTGGCTCCTAATGATTGCCTTCGCCCTTGCTCAATTGGTACGTCAGTCTCTGGCAAAGTTCCTTGTCAAGAGTATATATATTTAAGTTTAGAATTTGGAGCTGTATTTCTAGACTGCAATTGCAGTTTTGTATATAGGTACCACTTGTTCCTGAGATGGATTATAAGAACAGCGTTGATTACACATTTTGCTGAATGACAGTAGATATTTACAGATGCAAATAATATGTTGTTCTTTGTTTCCTGGTATTTGCAGGTCGCAACTGTGCTGGCAGTCTATGCAAACTGGAGTTTTGCGAGGATTAAGGGGATCGGGTGGGGATGGGCCGGTGTGGTGTGGCTATACAGCATTGTGTTCTATTTCCCGCTAGATATAATGAAGTTCGCCATCCGTTACATCTTGAGTGGAAAGGCCTGGACCAACATGCTAGAGAACAAGGTATCAACTTACTAACTAACTAACTGTTTGAGCCTACTTCGTTGTGTAATTTGTGTTTGCATACTGAATGCATACATTGTTTAATATATGTTCATTTGTTTTTGTTGTGTTTACAGACAGCCTTCACGACAAAGAAGGATTACGGAAAAGAAGAGAGGGAAGCGCAATGGGCACTAGCTCAAAGGACGCTTCACGGGCTTCAGCCGCCACCCGAGAGCTCCGGTGGGATCTTTAACGACAAGAGTAGCTACCGAGAACTGACAGAGATAGCAGAGCAGGCCAAGAGGAGGGCTGAGGTTGCCAGGTAATCAATCGACTTACTATTAGCAAGTGGATTGGTATTTTTCATTTCTCTTGTTATTTATGTAGCGAGTGTGATGATGGAACAAAACAGGCTTAGGGAATTGCTGACGCTGAAGGGACATGTGGAGTCGGTGGTGAAGCTGAAGGGGTTGGATATTGACACCATCCAACAGCATTACACCGTTTAATGACTGACGAGTCGGCCATCAATGGTCGGTCTGGGAAGGGAAGAAGGAAGAGACGCAGGCGGCAACCAGATAGCCAAGAGCATTTGTAGTTTGTTTATGAGAGAGGAGGAAGACATCGACGAATGACATAACCCCGTAATAAGAACAAAGAGCCAAAACAAACATGTTTCCTTTTGCATTGTATTAAGTAATTAAGACCAAAGATTGTGATGAAGAAATTGGTCTCTGCTTTCCTAAGTTTATGGGGTTCTTCTGCTGGAAAGGAGTAGTAGGTTAGGGCCTATTAGTTCCTGCCTTGTTTCTTTTTCCTCCTTTTGGTTTGTTTCATATTATCATAAGATAAAATGGGGTAGCCGTGTGCGGATTGGTGGGCTATCTTTTCCCTTTTTTTCAGAAACAGCAGATAGTGGGGTGCTGCTGCAGGTCTGGAGGGATTCTCCTCCATAGTGACTCTAGCTATTTCAGATTTTCAGTGTACTGTCTGTGTCATCTCTCGTCTCATTTGTGCCTCTTCTTTTTTGTGTGTGGAGTACAACGTAATGTTCTACTTGCATGTCTTTTCTTTTTTTTATATGATGATGATGAAGAACAAGTATTCTTTCTGCTTTCGTCAATTCGCAGACTGAATGATGATTGTGGTGGTGGGCGGAGAAAGGTTGAAGTCACAATGTCACATATAATAATATCCATGGAATACTCCCTTTTTTCTTCTTCTTCATTCAATGGTTTTCAGGTGGATCATCGAATGCTGGTTCTCCTCTTGAAGTACAGAAATGGTTCAAGCAGCGAGTAATCGTTTTAAAAAAACCAATCTTACTGCGCGATAAATTGCATTTTATCGGGTTGCAAGGCTATATATTGCGATATACGTGAAAACAACGCGATAAATGGCTTATATAGTATTAGAAAGTTATGGCGAAAAGTAGCATTATATCAAGGTACAAAGTTCAATATCGAGATAAAATATCATTATGTCGTGGTATAAAGTTAAATATCGCGACACGTATATTTATATCGCGAGAAACAAATTTGTATCGTGATAAAAATTAAAATATCGCGATAATATATAAGAAACCGCAACAAAAATAAAACATCGTGATAGGACAAAAATATCGCATTTTTTGTAATATCGTGATACTACGATACGAAACGCGTGTATGGCGAGTGAAACGCCGAAACGCGAAACGTTTCGGATCCTGAAAACAAAAAGCGGAACGCCATAATTCTTATCCTTGTCTCGAACCACCATCCCAAAATCTTATCCCTAGCCTTCGAAACATGCAACATCGACATTTACCTTGAAACCAGACAACCGAGGAGGCTCCCACAAATATTCGCGTTTTCCCTGTTCGCCTGCCTGTGATTGCTAAAGTTCAAGGTACTTTGTGAGCCATCTTTCTGCCATCCCCATGATTTCAAAACCATCCAATTTGTGTTTATTCCAAAGTTGATTGTTCCTCTCTTCCCAGATAAACCATAGCGCCACAAGAAATTGACCGATTAGAGCCTCAGGAGTCGCCTCTTAAAGCTCCGCCATCCAGTGCTCACAGGTGAGTCCTTGACCCTTCTCGAATAGACAATTTAGCGAACTAGGTCTCCAGACCCTACGAACCCACCCACACTCTTGAAAAATACGCAATTGTGTTTCTCGTAACCCACAAAATGGGCATTCTTCACATCCTTTTTGAATTTTGTCCCAGATATTAGCACCTGTAGGCTGTAGGTAGGATGTTCTTAATCCACCTCCAAGCAAAACCTTCACTTTTGGTGGAATCGACAATCTCCAGATCTGGTCCAAGTTAATAGGTGTGTAGATCTCAGCCTCTCCTTCATCTTTCTTGTTCATCGAGAAGCAATAAGTAGATCGCACAGTATAGATGTCTGATTTCTCATGACTCCAGATCCTTTTATCCTCAGCTAGTTGTCGAGGAAGCGGGGTTTTTAGAATCCTTTGTCGGTCGAAAGGATTGAAGTAGAATAATTCCAAGTCCTGTTGTCCAAGTCCAATAGCTCTTAGACTGAAGTTGTAGGGGCCAACTGGGAGACAGACGATTCAACCTTATAAGAGAGTGATGATGGTATCCATCGATCCTGCCAGATATCTATCTTGTGGCCATTTTCAACCCTCCATCGTAGCCCTTCTCTAAGAATATCTTTTGATGCTAGCACACTTCTCCACACATAGCTAAGATTGTAACCTTCCTCAGCGTCCAGGACATCACGATTAGGATAATACTTTGCCTTGAAAACTCTAGCAACGAGAGAACTAGGTTTCTGAATTAAATTCCATAGTTGTTTCCCAAGTAAAGCTAGATTGAACTCGTGAAGACTCATGATTACAATCCTCCCTGATTATTTGTTCTGCAAAGATCTTTCCATCCCACCCAGTGGGTTCTACTCTCTGCTTTTTGCTTACTCCACCAAAAGTTAGAGATCAGGCTTTCGATTTCCTGGATAACAATAATAGGGACTAGAAAGACCTGCATCGCATACGTCATTTGAGCTTGTGTCGCAGTTTTAATAAGAACTTCCTTTCCCCATCCGATAGGAGTGTGCTCTTCCACAACTTGACCTTCTTTCTAACCCCGTCAACAAGATAATTGAACACGGCTTTCTTCTGCCTTCCCACCACAGTTGGAAGGCCAAGATATTTCGAGTGGTAGTCTACTACTTTCATTCCCATGATTGCCCCAAGTTCTTGCTTCCTGTCCTCCTTGACATTAAGTGTAAACGAGATCTCATATTTGACCAAGTTAACCCGTTGACTTGTTTCTTGTTCATAGAGGTTCAGGATTCCTCTCACTCTTTCACACTCCTCCTTAGTAGCTTTAGAGAACAAAACACTATCATCCACAAAGAGCAAATGATTTATGGGTGGAGCACCTCCCTTAAGTTTAATTCCCTCGAAACCCTTCTCTTTCTGCTTGGCTAAGAAGAGCAGATAGCCCTTCCGTAATAAAAGGAAATAAATCTACAAGAATATAAATAAGTTGGTTATTGTAACTTCCACCTCTATTCAAATTTCCTGCAACGAGAGTGAAAGTAGGAAAGATATTCTTGTCTTTGCAATGATCTAGTTGCTTCTCATTCATTCCTAAAAAAAGAAAGACATATTAGGATTTTAACCATGGTCATTTTCAACAATGACAAACATCTTAACCAATCAGACTACATAGATTAGTTGTATCATTTTAAATAAAAAACATACATGAAGCTAAAATTAAAAAATCACAAAACTTTTCAACGGTTAGCTAAGGTCACTAAATCTTCCCTCAGTACTAATTGATGTTTGATACTTTGATTTTTATATTTAATTATTTTAATTATATTTTAATACTTAATTTACATTTTTATTTATCTTATAAATAGAGAATAACTTTAAAATCATATAACAAATATCTTTTGTTCAATATTACAATTCGAATTTCAATATCGAATTTGTATAAGCAATGTTGAACTCTTACATTAGTGTTAGTTTATAGAACTACTATGAGGCAATCATATTCATATCTTTCTACAAACTATATGGGGACGAGTTCTTTGAACTTCTTAGCTCGGCTAACCGTTAAGTTTTAAACATCTTCCTAATCCGACAGACATGATTGAATCCAATAATCATTAGACGAGGTTGAGTTTAATAGGTTGGTTTATTTCATCTTTTTTTATTTATTAAAATGAATTTTTATAGCAAGAACAAGTCTATATATACACTTTACACAATATCTACTAATGGCATGATATAATTGTCGTCCCATTTCAAATTTCCTACAATGAGAGCAAAAAAATGAATGACATTTTTGTCTTCGTCATTATTTATCTTTATTTTGTATAGAAAATAAACAAGTATTGTGATTTCAACTAATGTAACTTCAAACACAGACAAGAGTCATAACCATGATAGTCAATTCAAGTTTGACTCTGCTGGTTGAACCAATTCTACCTAAACCTGAGTATCTCAGCGGGTGCCGAAGACCCAGTTGGTTGTCTAATCAGGCTCAGTCAAAGCAATGAAAACCCAATCAAATCGTAAAATCCGACCGATTGGTGTGATTTGAGCATCGGGACACTTCAAAACGATGTTGTTTTTAACAATTTGTATACGTAACTACGCTGTCATATCATCCTTTTATTTATCACAAAACACTACAACATGGAACATCACATACCATGTTCGACTATCTTATCATCTCTTCTTCTTCCTTTAGATTCGAGAACCTATAAAGACCCAACCATCTCAATAGCCATCATAACCCCGCAATAGTAAATTTCATTTTTCTCTAGCTGCGCAGTCATAGAGCCAATCGAACTCATCTCATACAAATAAGAAGCAAAAATTATTAGAAGAACATGCATTTGAGTTGAAACTTTGTGTGATTAATAGAGGCCAAATTCCTCATTTTCATTATTTTTTAATACTTAATTAAATTCATATATGTCTTATAAATAGAGAATAACTTTAAAATCGCGGCTCAAATATCATTGGTTCGAATATTCCATATCGAATTGCAGTATTGAATATGTACAAGTGATGTGTAATTCTTAAATTAGTATTAAGTTTTAGACCTACTATGAAACAATCGTAATCATATCTTTGTGTAAACTATATGAGATTGGTTCTTTGAACATTTTATTTCGGCTAATCGTCAATTTTAAACCTCCTCTATTCTGACATGATTGGATCCAACAATCATTACGTGTTCAAATAGTTGGCTCATTTCACCCTATTTAAATGTGCTAATGAATTTGTAGTGAAAGTATATGTCCTTATCTACACTCTACACAATATGTTATACTGAAATGAGAAAATTGTTGTCTCATTTCAAATTTCCTACAACGAGAGCGAAAGTAACAATGATATTTTTGCTTCACAATTCTTTTATAGAAACTACTATCTTCCAAAACCCAGAAATTGTAGATCAAACTAAAAATCAGAGCATCGAAAATCGAAATTCACAAATGTTATCTCATATATCACTTATTTGAGAGATTTTTCTCTCTATAAACAAAGTAAAACGAAACAAGTTATAGCCAAATCAACAACTTTGGCTCGAAGACGATGACCAGCTTCTCCGTGGGAGAATGAGTACTTGTGGTGTTGTGAGAGATCTGGAGAGCAAAGATGAAAAGGATACATGCGGCACGAGATCTAGAAAGTTGTTGAAGATTTAGATGAACGGTAAAAAAATCTTCCTACTTCCGAAGATTCACCACGAGTTCTTAAATGGGGATTGACAAATAGATCATCAAATCACGGGGATTGCCCTAAATAAAGGCATAGGAGGTTAGTTAGATGGCCGGTGATATATAATTTGCCAATTTGGTACATCTACAGGAGATCTCTAGTGTCGACTTATGAAACAAAGAATCGAAGGTGAAGAAGAAGATATAGACTCTTTTATTAACAACTAATTTAGTGCTTGAGGGTGGATAAAGCATTCATTTCTCTATTCCTTTAAAAAAAAACTAAAAACATCAATAAAAACTAAAAATAGTATCGTAAACTTTGGTGGGTTTCTATTCAACTTTTGAAGTCTGTTCCTTTTTCGGGTCTAATAAGATTATTTAAACCTATCATTCTACTAAAATAATTTTCTTTTTCTTTTTCCGCTTCATTTTTTTAATATTTTGACCAATACATGTTAGTAAGTTAAATGATATACTAATTAATATAATATAATATTCACACTCTGTCGACACACTGAAATTATAATTCTCGAATAATATACGCTCTTACTCTCCCATTCTAGCTCCCGCTCCGTCAATTGGTAAGCTAAATACGTTGAGTTAATTTTGTAGACAAAGAGACTACTGGCAGAACTTGCCTTACATGACATATTGCCTTCCATTGCATACACCCCCACGCTCAATTCCCACTTGGCCGTTCCGAATTAATTCCTCATATGACACACACCGTCGCCATAGGAGTGCGAACTTCATCACATGATAAATACATGTCGTTGGAGTGCTTTTTAGGAGCTCGAAGGAAGATGGCGGAAAGTAGCAGGTAGAGAGACAAATGTAGATAGTCCGGGCAAGGAAGAATATTATCCATATGTAATGAGATTTTATATAATTTAAAAATATATGAACAATTTAATAACTTTTTCATATATATGGGCAAAAGCGGACTAAAAGATTGTGCCAATAACCCTGAACCCACTTAATCGACCGGACCAACGGGCTAAATCGGGCTGACAACCTTTGGTAATTTGGAATCCATATATTCTAAAAATTTTGGGATCCAATTTTTATGATTGAGTCAAATCGATTAATAATTGTGGACTTTCAGAGCGTGGTTGAAATTCAAAAGTCGGTCTTTAAGGTTCTTTCATGACATACAAGTTTTTGCGTTTATTTATTGCTGGGTCGGAGGAAGAGAAAGCGGAACATATGGATTATGGGATAATGTCTATTAATTATTGGGAGTTGCAGATGGAGAAGATAAGCCACAAAATGTGGGTAATTAAAACGTATATAGTATATACATTATAGTACGAGGGCATGTTTGATGTGAAAATAGTAGAGGGATAGATTTGAGAAAAATGGATAATAGAGTGACAATTTATGTTTTTAACTCCACGTAAAAAGTCAAAGATCGTATTGGTAGAGTAAATTTAAGGTTTTATAATGTTTAGATTTTCTTAACTTTTGTATGTGCATTAGTGTCAAACACTTAACAGCCACCATTATTATTCAAACAAGCCTATACACTAAATTATCTTAAATTATACAATAAGAATTATTTTTGCGTGTTCTTCCATATTTGAGATTTCTAGACATAATATTTTTGTTATTCTCTTGATTTTTTAATATACCTTCAATTTCTACCAATTCTAGATTAAATATATTTCCTTCCAACTCCAAATTCATATCCGACAATAAAAAGTTCGCAAATTTCTTCTAAGATATGAAAAAATGCAAAACAATACACTAGGACGACTTGATAAAAGAATATACATTAACTAATTATCGCTAATTTCATATTCAACAAATACCATAAAAACTACTTTGAAATAATGAATTAAATATTTTAGAAAATCTCAAATTATTTAAAGGTATGAAGAAATTTATCCATAAAATAAAACAAAATTCCTCCGGCCAACGGGTCGGGTAAAAGCTAGTAAGGAGAGATAGTGAATTTGAATTAAATGGCAGAGACGGATGAAACTGGGAAGTGGGCGACTATCTTAGCATGGAAAACCCGACCCGCGCCTTTGAGATTTTGGGCCAACTTATATTATAATGGGGTAAAATACCTCGGGTGTCACTTAAGTTTGAGAATTGGGGAAGACATCCCACTTAAATTTGAATAGGGCATCAGGTACCACTGAACTCTATTATATGGGGTTAATTGCATGGTTGTTCATTGAGATTACAAAAAACGTTCAAGTTAGGTCACTCGAAATATTTAAATCCATTGGTGATCCTTCAGTTTACGGAAACCGTTCACGTTTGGTCACTCTCCGTCCAACTCCATTAACTTTTGCTTACGTGGCGGTCAACTTTAAAAGTTAACCGTTAATTGAGTGATGTGGCAATTAAAAAATTAATAAAACAATAAAATTAATCTTTTATAATTTCCACCTCATTTTTACAATAAATTAAACTAAAATCAAATTAAATTTGAATGTGATTATGTGAAACCCCTTTCCCTTCCGTCCCAGTCATACACGGCCCTTTACCCAATTTCCGGTGGGTGCTTTCTGCTCTCCCCAGCCACACGATCCCAGCGCTGTCATCCCCCGGAATTCCTTACCATCCCTCGTAAGTTCTACAGCCCCATTATTCTTCGGCGGCAAATCAATCGGCCGTTATATTTATCTTACCAATCGATTCACTATTATCCGCCTAATTCCATTCACCAACCGTCCTAGCCGGTCCTTCCCGCCTTTGGCAACACAATTCTGCCACTGTCACCCCCTCTCATGCCTTCGACCCCTGCATACCACTCTCTACCGCCATTACTACTATCTCCGCGACCTACCTATTCGCGCGTGGCAGCAACTAAGGGAAGTTGTGATTGCCGGTTCCTAAAACTACTGCTCCCAATGTAGTTTTGGGTTTAGGAAAGTGGTTTGGTTTTGCTGAAGCAGTAGTGGTGGTTTTTGGGTTTAGGAATGTGGGTTGGCTTTGTTGATGCAGCGACATTGTTACTGGAAATCTCTCCGTCTGGCATGTGTGGCTTCTTAATAGGCGGGGCTGCAATGTGTAACAGAGGAATTGGAGGTGTTCGTTCGCTCGAGGAACATGGCTTTCCATGTTTGGAAGATGTCGGAGGTGAGTTGCAACCCTAATTTGAAATTCACCTTTCACCATCTTGTTACAACCGCCACCGCCGTATCCTAACCCTAATTCTCGTGGATCCAAGCGATGACCCTCGTGAGGAAGTCAGGGCGAGCGTTGGGAGAAGCCCTGGCGGACGGAGCAAGATTTGAACGCGCAGGCTGAATACGCTCTCTGTTTGGCTGCAACGATCGATTCCGCGGCGGATTCAGATCCGGACCAACTCGGTACCCGGGATGGTTTCAGTGAGCTAGTTGAGGTCGAGGTTGAGTATCCGTTTGTGGCCAAGAACGCGGCGGCACAGAAGAGGAGAGAGGATTCCCGTTTGTTCTTAATTCTAATAATTTATAATTTTTATTTTTATCTTTTTAATAGTTAGATCGAGGTGGAAATTATAAAAGATTAAATTTTATTAATTTTTTAATTTCCACATCACTCACTTAATGGTCAACTTTTAAAGTTGACCGCCACGTAAGTAAAAGTTAACGGAGTTGGACGGAGAGTGATCAAACGTGAACGGTTTCAGTAAACTGAAGAATCAACAATGGATTTAAATATTTCGAGTTAAAGTTTTAACCGGTACTATTTGGATAATTTGGTTTGGTTAATTTGGATAACTGGTTTGGTTAAAGTTTTTAGCTTGTTTGGTTTGGGTGGTTTGGTTTGTTTTCAGACACTCCTAACCAGTCAAACCAAATTAACCAGTTAAGTAATTAGTCATATATCTAACATATATTATATACACATACTTAATACTTTGCATAACCACTCAAGAGTTAACGTTCATCCCTTTTAGACTCATAAAATATAAAGCTCAATATTGCTCATATAGTGTATATTTGTATATGTAAAATGTAGACCACAACATATGGACGCCTAATTTAGATAAATTTCATACATTATGATGGATGAAAACTTGAAAGGAAGGTCATTTCCAGCCTATGATAATTGCTAAGAGACTAAGTCAATTTACACAAACACAATAATTCATTAACCCATAAACCATTGTCATAAATTTATTGTTAGGTGAATACTTCTATACTAATCGTAAGATAATTGTCTTAGTTGCATGTATTTTTATTAAGGGTCAACTATAACTACGTGTTGGTTATTATGTTTTATTCATTATATAAATTGCGAATTGTTGCATTAACCGGAAAAATTTCATCGTCAATGATAATGTGATTTTATATTAGTTAATCTGGTTAACCAATTAACCAAACCGATTAAACTTTAGTTTGATTAATTTGGTTGTTGTATTAGTTTGGACGGTTTGGTTATGATATTGTATTCCATGGTTAATGAAATTTAGCCTTATTTGGTTTGGTTATAACCATGGTAACCATTTGAACACCTCTATGAAAAAGTAGACGGATGCACATTTTGACAACTTTAATAGTATCCCGATAATGAAAGCATCCATGACCATCCATGTAATTTCAGCCACGTGGTTGTCCCGGGATCATCAGTCCCCGACACTTACCATCCTCCAGCTTCTTCTTCCTCCTCGTCCAAAAATCCCGAGCCAGAGAAGTAGAAAATCAATCGAGTAAATCGGTATTTTGCCTGTTCGCCGGGGAGAATTTGAAATCAACCACCGCCGTCGTCGATCATCAGCTATCTGCCAGCAAGCAAGCATGTGGATTTCCATAGCATCATCTCATCAGAGCTTCTTCGCCAGCAACGCCGTCCTCCTCGCTTCTCCTTCACTGCCTTCCAGTTCCAGACACTTGCGCATCTCCGCCACCGTCTTATGCTCTCACCCGCCGCCTTCACCCCACCACTCTACTTCTCCTCCGCCTCCCCGGTATTTTTTCTTAATCAATCCCCTATCCTGCTCTCTTTCTCTGTCTCCCTCCCTGTTGCTATCTTATGTAATCAATCAACCAATTCTATCTTTTCCTCAGTAATGGAGAGTTGGGGAAGCTGGCAATAGTAGCTGCCTTGACGGCAGGTGTGCTTACCCTGGGCTGCCTGTCACCGGATGATGCTTCCGCTGCCAAGTCCGGCGGCAGGATTGGCGGACAGTCCTTCCGCTCCTCCCAGCAACAGCCTCGCTCTTCTTCCCCTCGCATCAACAACAACTCCTCTCGGTAACTACCCAGTGTTCAATTGTACAGCTTCTAGTTGTTTTTTCTTTTTCTTCTTCTTCAAATTGTCATAGAAATGATGATGGTAGTACTCTAATCAATTGTAGCTAGCAAGTAGCAACTAATTGATTACTACCTGAATACTTGATCTAAGATTCCTATGGATGTTTGGTGCATTTACAATTGCAGGACGAACATATATGTAAACCCTCCTGTTGCACCGCCCTTGGTGGGAGGTTATGGCTACGGGTTTGGTGTACCGTTCTACGGCGGTTGGGGATGGTCTCCATTCTCCTTCTTTGCCCCTGGCCCTTCTGTTGCCGTCGGAGTTGGCGGTGGTTTTGATACCTTTGCTCTCTTTATCTTCCTTGGCGCTGCGGCAGCAGTCGTTCGAAGATTCGCCAGATCAATCAGGGATAGGGGAGATGAAGATGACGAGTATTGATCATGATCGACGACTACGGACTACTCCCTAAGTTTTTGGGCTGTAATTGACCAGAGTGTATGAATAATTCTGTCCTCCCTCCCTGGCATGGATCATTGAATGGATACCCTATATGTATAGTTATAGTTATAGACTTATAGTTGAGGAAATGATAAATGTACGTCAGTCACAGTGATGTTAGAAAAAGAGTGTTTGTTTGTATTCTGTAGAAATTTGGGAAAGGTACCAAAGGGGAAGGAAGCGCCAAATGTTGATCAGGCGTTGGGAGTCAATTGTAGATGTTCTTGCTAAGATACTACTACTATCCCTACAGTTACACAAAAGGAAGAGCGAGGGAAGGGGGTTTCAATCTGTGAGCTGAACGGCTGCAATTGAAGGTATCTTCTCTCTAAGCTTCTGAGTCAGAGCAACACGAACAGTCGTCACCCCTGCCGCAGGCCCTGTGAGCCGAACCCGGACTAAGTAGTCATCAATGCCAAGCAACTGAAGCTCCCCTCCTCCAGTCCCTCCCAAGTAAGGCCGGATTTCAGACAGAATCTGCCAATCAAAGAAACTCTTTGCATTCATATCACACAACCGTGCGTACCATACCATTGTTGCCATGATGAGTTGGGGTTTTAGTGGTGTTACCTTCTCGACATTGTCTTCGTTCAATTCCAACCCGGTTTCTGTGTCACGGATCTGCTCGACAGCCATGATCTCGGGGATCTTGTCACGTAGCCGGGTTTCGATCCCCATCTGGAGGGTCATGGCAGAGCTGGGGCACGACCCACAGGCTCCCTGCAGCTTTAAAACAACGACCAGGCCGTCGATCTCGTGGAGAGCAACGTTGCCGCCGTCGGCCATTAGTCCAGGCCGAACCTCATCCAATACCTTCTCAACGTTCTCCTCTGTTAACGCCAGTACACACCTGATCCAAGTCCTCCTACGCTCAACTACTGCCAATTCACTCCACCCCCGAGATTCAATTCAGACAATTTCTTTAATAAATCAAAACGATTCAACCCCAACAATCGTAATTTCATTACAGAGCAGTGGGTGGTTACGTACCCGCAGATGAAGATGTGTAGGATGGTGAGCGCATGATCCCCATAACGGAAGCTTTGAATTTGCGGCCATATCGAGGCTCCGGCCTATTCCACCGCCGGGAGAACAGGTGCGATGAAATTGGATTGTCGATCTAATTGAACAGGACGAGAAGGGCAGATGTCAGTCGACATGAATTTCCCGCCGTTTTTCACATCTCATCTGATGATCACAGAGTGTATGAATGCAGTAGCAACAACATGATTCATATTAGAAGAGGGGAACGGGGAAGAGTGTACAGGGGTAGCTGCGGAAGGAGATGAGTAATATGATCTTCCTCCTCCTAGGCATAGCATTTGATTTTGAACCAGCAGCAGCGCCAGGGCGAGGGCGAGGGCGGCCGGCGGCTGAGCGGTGGTGAGGCCGAGCTTGGCGGGATTGATATCAGAACGGAGCCGGAAGTTCGAATGCCGCCGCCTAAAACCCAAAACCGAAGAGAAGAGGAGCAGATAACAAATCGAGGAGTTGGGATTTCACTCTAATTGCGTTACGTTTCTCAGATGGATGATGAGGGAAGGATCTGAGTGGAGTGGAGTGGAGTGCACACGCTGGAGGGAGAAGAGGCCAATTCTAAGACAACCAGGGATTCAAAACCATCCACGTCTCTCTATCTTCTCAGGTCTCGCTGAGTACAGATAAGAAACATCTGGGCTCCTTAGAATTCTTTATGGGCTCTTGGGCTTTTGCCTGCGTCAACGAAGAAACATGCGGCCCACGCAACCTGGTCCAATCGACGTCCATAGTAGGTAGTTTGCCGGGTGAGTGGACATCTCCGATTTCCCCTTCTCCCCCGCCTCTTTGCAGTTACCCAAAAAACCCAGAGGAACTAGTAATTGCAGAACTGCAAAAAGAAAAACCCTACTGCAATCCCACCACCACCGCCGACAAACAGACACTTCCGACAACGGGACATCTGTCTCTAAGTCTTTCAATGGCGGGCTCGGTCGATGAAGCCGCGAAGGCCGTCTCCAATCTTGAAGTCAATTCCACTGAAGAAACCGTCAGCAAAAAGTAAGTACAGAACCCTTTTGCCATGATTTCTCTTCAAGTTCAATCCGTCTCTATCCCATCCTACGCTTAGCTCCTTTCTCTGCTTTCCTCCGTCTATGTTATTTCTCATAGCTGATCCCCTTTTCCTGTTACATTTTCGCTTTTGCAGTGCCCGTAAAAAGGAGCTCAAGAACAAGCAGAGGGAGGAAGAGAGAAAGCGCAAAGAGGAAGAGCGAGCCAAGCAGGTAGTGCAAATTTCCCTGTCTACTGTAATTGAGCCAAATTCATGTTAGTTATCCCTGAAAATGGAAGACTGAAGAAGCATATTGCATACTGCAATTGAAAGGCTAAGACTTTGTTATTGTTGGGGGAGAATTAGGGCTGATGTACCTGCTGGTTAGACTAGACTTCGTTTCTCTTTGTTTCAAACTTTGCCCATAGTTGTTGTTATCTATGCATAGATGAATCCCTCCGCCAGACCCCGAACTTGAGCAACAACCTTGTTACTCGAGGGGATCTATGGATGAATGCATATATAACTTCCTGTACTTCTTCTTCTTGTCCAGGCTTCTGCAAAGGCTAGCTCTCAATCTTCAAAACCCGCCGGAGATGAAGAGGATATGGACCCCACGGTATTGCCTGTGCTAGTACATGTTCTCTCGCATAAATTGTATATATTATATCCTTTTATGAACATAGTATCCTTCTCTTGTAGCAATATTTTGAGAATAGAATCAAGTATCTTGACGTCCAGAAGACTGAAGGGAAAAATCCTTATCCTCACAAGTTCTTCGTCACCCTGTCCATTGCTGAGTATGTAGACAAGTTTGGGAGCCTGAACAATGGGGAACATCTTGAAGATGCTTCTGAATCTTTGGCTGGTATTTGAACTGCCAATAATACTTTTTTCTTCTTCTTTTGTTGCTGAGATCCACCTTGCTCAACTCTTTTCTATAATTGATTTTGCTAGGCCGGATCATGAATAAACGTTCGTCCTCTTCGAAACTCTTCTTCTATGATCTTCATGGCGGTGGTGCGAAGGTTCAAGTAATGACTGACGCAAGGTTCTGCCCTTGAAGCTTTTGTTTGCTCACATTATCCTGTTTTCTTTAACATTTTCTTTGGGGGTTAGTAGGTGCATCAATGGAGGATGCTTTTAATCATCTAGTTCTGTGTTGTTTTTTTATTGATAGGGTAGCTCTGTGTTTTGCATGATCCTTTCGGCTGATATTTTTGAGCCTCTTTGTTATTTCATTTGTGATTAAACAATTGTTTGTATCTTTATCATGTTCAAGAATTGAGTTTTTGTTTCATGTGATTCAGCAAGTCTGGCATGGAGGAAGCTGACTTTTCAAAGTTTCACTCTGCTGTGAAACGTGGGGACATTGTTGGTGTCACTGGATTTCCAGGTTTATAAACACATAATGTTGATATTAGTTTTCTTCCTGTTGTTAAATGATTCCTCAATCTGGTCAATTTCTTATCTTTTCATTTGGCTATTGTCTAATCTTGCTTTGTCTCTCCTTCAGGGAAAACGAAAAGAGGTGAACTTAGCATTTTTCCGAGAAAATTTGAAGTCTTATCCCATTGTCTTCATATGATGCCACGACAGAAAGCTGCCCCTGGTTCTGATAATGCTGGTGTGAAGGTAAGTGGATTATGTCACTAATGGTGATTCTGTTAAAGCCTTAGTCCTAAGGTTGATGACATATTTCATATTTTGCAAGCAGAAAGCTGAAGTTTGGCATCCTGGATTGACTAGGAATCCTGAAACATATATTTTGAAGGATCAGGTATGTTCAACTAGAAAGCTTTTGATGTACGATAAAGTTGCTGTTAATTTCTGACTTCTGTTTTTCTTTTCCTTGGTTTATTTGTTATTAGGAAACACGATATCGTCAGCGATATCTTGATCTTATGGTGAATTCTGAAGTACGCCATATATTCAAGACTAGAGCTAAGATAATTTCATATATCAGAAGCTTCCTTGACAACCGGGATTTCTTGGAGGTTGGTTGTGTTTACTTCCTTGAATTATGTTGTGCAACTCTTTTTTCTTTTTTGGGTTCAAACTGGTTTCTCTAATTTTGTTCCTCAGGTTGAGACGCCTATGATGAACATGATTGCTGGTGGAGCAGCTGCTCGCCCATTTGTGACTCATCACAATGATCTGAACATGAGGCTGTTCATGAGAATAGCTCCTGAACTTTATCTCAAGGAGCTAGTTGTTGGGGGGATTGAACGTGTTTATGAGATTGGAAAACAATTCAGAAACGAGGGCATTGACTTGACACATAATCCTGAGTTTACAACCTGCGAGTTCTACATGGCCTTTGCTGATTATAACGACCTCATGGAGCTCACTGAACAGTTGTTAAGTGGTAATGATAAAGCATAAGTTTAAATTGCATGGTTGTTTCTGCCTTTATGATATTATTATTGAACCAATGTGCCGTTTTTTTATTTGATTTTTTCCTGGTCAGGAATGGTCAAGGAACTTACTGGTGGTTACAAGATTAAGTATCATGCAAATGGACTTGATAAAGATCCAATAGAAATTGACTTCACGCCTCCTTTCAGGTTAATATGCAGTTATCCTTTGCCTTCTCATCGTAATTTTGGTTGGAAAACAGTAACCATCATGTCATGGTTCCCCTGATTGATCTATTTTGGAATTTTAGGAGGATAGAGATGATAGGTGAGTTGGAGAAGATGGCCAACCTTAACATTCCAAAGGATATCGCCGGTGATGAGGCTAACAAGTACCTGGCTGCTGCATGCGAGAGATTTGAAGTAAAATGTCCGCCCCCTTTAACAACAGCTCGCCTGCTGGACAAAGTAATTATTCCATTTCCTAGCCTTGCTTCTACATCTACTACTAGTAGACATCTGCAGTTATTTTAGGCATCAGATTCTGCAGCATATGTGCTGATTTCATTTCGTTTAGAGGCACACTGTTTAATTTATTACCAATGTTGGAGTTCCTTTCATATTTTCATTCCCTGCCTCCCTTCTCCTTCTGGTTTTATTGGATTCCGTGTATTGATCTATCCTGTTCTGTTTATCATTTTTGTGGCATTCGATACAGCTCGTGGGGCACTTCCTGGAAGAGACATGCACAAATCCTACTTTTATCATTGATCATCCTGAGATAATGAGTCCTCTCGCGAAGTGGCATAGATCCAAACCTGGCTTGACTGAACGTTTTGAATTGTTTATCAACAAGCATGAAGTACAGTCTGTCGAACCCTCTCTTTTCTTTCTCTCTTGATATCTGTTTGATTAATTCGCTTAATAGTTTTTGATTAATGATGCTTGATTTCTCAGCTTTGCAATGCGTACACCGAACTGAATGATCCTGTGGTGCAACGACATCAATTTGCTGATCAACTGAAGGTATAGCTGTAGTTTTGGTAGATTCTTGGAATCTTTTGTCTGTCTTGAGATATAATCTATTAAAATGTCTTACTTGGGTTGTCGTCTTACCAGGACCGAAACTCTGGTGATGATGAAGCAATGGCTTTGGATGAAACGTTTTGCACCGCTCTTGAATATGGTTTGCCTCCAACTGGTGGATGGGGCTTGGGTATTGACCGGCTTGCTATGCTCCTAACTGATTCACAAAATATCAAGGTCTGTGCTTTTGACCAGATTGATTGTCTTCGTCTTTCTTTTTCCCCATTGGCTTAAGGGGCGTGCCAAGCTCATCTTGTATTTTACTCTTTCGGAACAGGAAGTACTTCTCTTCCCAGCTATGAAGCCACAGGATGAACCTCCCACTAAAGGTAGTATATAGAGCCCCGATTTGACACTGCCTTTCCTTTAGTTCGTACCGTCCAAAGCAATTGTATAGGAAAGCACAGCTGATGGTTTCTCTTTTTCCTGCCTTTGCTATTTGCAGCTGCAGCAGCAGTACCAGCATCATCATGAGGAATTTTTGATTTGCCGCCAACCTAATCTACTGCTTTATGCTTCACATTGAAGGGTAGATGAGATTGGCTCTTCACCTCCAAGTTTTGTTTGTAAGATGAGTAACTAGGCAAATGGCTCTTCCATTAGCCAAATGTAGTTTCCTTGGTTATTTTGTCATTGTTAAACTTGCAATACTTTTCTTTTGTGTGATTGTCTTAATTTCTTGCAGTATCTATCTGTGAAACTTGTTGCCATCAGCTGACATATCTTCAGACTTAGATTGGTCCCTTGACCCTTGAACTGCTAGTGGTTTAGTGTCTGTATCTCTCTTGTCATACGTCCTCTGTCACCTCTCTGGTTTGGTTCATCCTAAAAAACCAGCGTTTACTCTAGTAGGATATGGCGAAACGGTCTTATTAATTTTCAGATTAACAATTGGTCTCGATAGCAAGGCATGCATGTAAAAGCAAGCTCTTCTCTCTCAAAAACTCTTTTCTCAGATTGAGTTAATTTAGTTGAACAGTTGATTAACGCGGGTGCAATCTTGTCGGATTTCACCCTGGCTCCCCGTGAGGACTCCGACCCGACCCATTTTGGTGATGGCGGCCACAAATGCGTCGTTGAAAGCGGATTGGGTTGCGGCGAAGAGGTCGACGGTGGGTCGAGATCTCGGGTCGGAAAACAGGACCTGATCCGATGAGAACAATCCTTTCCCTTGCTGTAGATTCTTGAAGTAGGCGTTGTCGAATGTCTGAGGACCGGTGGGATCCATGCTGACGACGACGGTAGGGTCCACATTGAGCGGACACATGTTCCTGAGCTGCAACGCGTAGCTCGGGTTCAAGGTCGGATCAATCGTGGTGGTCTTGTTGAACCTATAAATCCTCTTGGCGAACTGTTTGCAATGGGAGAACCCAAGCGTATGTGACCCTAATTGATTGGCATACATAGTCACGGAACAAAATCATAAGATAGAGCACATCCAAGTAAAATATGATTTTTCTTCTTCAATGAATGAATGAATGAATGAGGTGGGTACCGGAGAGAGCGAGTATGTCGGTGAGGGAGAGGGAATGGAAGGCGAAGATTTGGATGAGCTGATCCAGGTTGAAGCCAGGCTGGGGGAGTTGGCGTTGGACGCTAGCCTTGGTTGATATCCGCCCATCCCTCCTACCTAGCTCCACTTGGTACGACGGTCCTCCGCTCTGCCGCCAAAAACCCAGTTAACTAAATTGTACCGGCGATGACATGTATGTATATACTTGGGGCTCCAATTTTTTGAACTAGCCAATAATTATTGGAACGAACTAGCTAGTGCAATTCTGAATGTACATATACATACCAAGGAAACAACATCTCGGGTGGCGAGAGCAAGGATGTCGGCACAGGAGACTTTGTTGCGGCAGCTAGGGTCTGCGTCGACTGCCGCTTTCGCCTTGATGACGGTGTCGAAACCGTCGCCGGCGAGTGAAAGGTTGTCCGGGTGATCCTTCTCGGCGTCGTTGGTGGGAGAAGCTAGAATCACCGACGCATCACATCCCTACACGAACGCGTCTCATGTATCAATCGAGCTGAGGAGAGAGAGTATGCATGATATTGGATTGGTTAGTACGGTTACCCGGACGAAGCAGTCGTGGAAGAAGAGGCGGAGGGTGGCCGGGGCAGTGACGAAAGTCTGTTGGAATTTAGCCTGAACTGCTGACCGGACCAATGACTCCAGGTTGGGGCAGGTGGCGTTGTAGAAGCCCTGGGAAAGCTGTGCCTCCGTAACTACAAGGAGAAGAGCGGCCGGCAGGAGCAGGAGTAACAAGAGAATAATTATAACATGTAAGAGACGCATAGCAGCCATTTTAATTAATTAATTTGCTCTACTTTTTATTCTTGTTGTCCATCCAATCCAAGCTCAAGTATATATACATGCATGGCATGGGTGTTTTCCTGTATCATGAGATGAGATGAGACCCCTCATGGAAAATGCATTTACTTACAGATAAGGAAAGTGCGTGATGGAAACAATATAGTCGGAGTAGATTTTTGGTAGGCAATATTATGATTATACATACTTGAATTAATATAAGTAACGGTAGTATATGATATATACACCTGCTGCATGCATGTGGTTATGTAAGTAACGTACGGTAGTATGAAATGGTACATTTAATTAATGAATTAGTCTCTTAATTAATAATTAGTTTGACTGTATGATTCTTTTTTTTACTTTGAGAAGGTGACACAGAATTGTTTTTCCATATTAACCCCTAACAATAGGCCAAACTATATTATATAGTTACAAATACTTGAAAAACTCGAGTGCGTACGTAACAGGCTTGTAGGGGGATTACTAAGAGACAGCAATGCAATGGGGACTGGCTAGGAGGTTTTGTTTGCAAAATTGGCACTGGTTCTGCGATTCTCGTGGAATTGTGGGGTATTCACCAAGGATTATTGATCATGGCTCAGAGTCAGGAAGTCCAATTCCTTATCTTAGAGACAGATTCGAAGCTTGTTATAGATTTAATAAGGGTGAGGGGCGACCCAGTTCATCCGCACTCAACGATTCTGGCAGCCATTAGACGACTTCTAGCTCAAGATTGGGTGGTGCAGCTGGTTAATACGTACAAAGAAGGGAATAGAGCCGCGGACTAACTCTCGAAGCACAGTCTCGTCTACCCCTTCGGTACGCATGAACTAGTAGAACCACCAAGTGAGTTAGGAAGGATTCTTGTTGAGGATATCTTGGGAGTGAGCTTTCCCACGAGGGTTATTCAGAATACGGATTGAGATAGGGACTTTCAGATGGTTACTTCCTTCTTGTGTGGTCCTGTCTTTCTCTTGTTAGCTCTTTTTGATTGCCCTTTGTAATCCTTGGCTTTCCGCCCCCTCATTTCAAAAAAAAAAAAAAAAACGTAACAGGCTTGTAACAAATTAAATGATAAAAATGGTCTTATTATTTCATTTCGGATTTGGTCACGAGAACCGTGCATGCATGAAGAAGAAGAAGGTGTACAATGTGGAGGTATGTAGTGATCATGCGAAAGAATGCAAATTAATGAGGATCTTAATTAAACGTAACGTAACAGTGCTTTATGATTAGTTACATTTTGAGTAGCTAGCTGCAGGCCGTACGTGTGAATGGATTAATAAGTTAAGTTAATTAGCGCGGGTGCAGTCTCGGCGGATTTCCCCCTTGGTCCCCGTGAGAACCCCGACTCGTCCCAGCTTGGTGATGGCGTCGGCAAACGCTTTGTTGAACGCGGTCTGGTTGTTGGCGAAGAGGTTGACGGTGGGGCGGGATCTGGGGTCGGAGAAGAGGACCTGGTCGGAGGAGAAGAGTCCCCTCCCTTGCTGCAGGTTGCGGTAGTAGGCGTTGTCGAAGGTTCGAGGGGTGGTTGGGTCCATGTTGATGGCGATCCTGGGGTCCACCTTGAGCGGGCACATCTGGCGGAGCTGGGTGGCGTAGTTCCGGTTCAAGGTCGGGTCGATGGCGTTGGTCTTGCTGAAGCCGTAGATCCTGCTGGCGAATTGTCCGCAGTGGGAGAACCCCAGCGTGTGCGCGCCGGAGAGGGCGACCATGTCGGTCTGGGAGAGGGAGTGGGAGTTGAACATTTGGTTGAGCTGATCCAAGTTGAAGTTTGCGTGTGGGAGTTGGCGTTGCACGCTGGCTTTCGTTGACATCCGCCCGTCCCTCCTCCCGAGTTCCACTCTGTAGAAAGGTCCTCCTGCCAGGGAGACCACCTCGCGGGTCGCCAGAGCCAGGATATCGGCGCACGACACTCTGTTGCGGCACCTCGGGTTGCTGTCCACCGCGGCTTTGGCCTTCACCACCGTGTCGAACCCGTCTCCGGCGAGTGAGATGTCGTCAGGGTGGTCCTTCTCCGCGTTGTTCGTCGGGGAATCCAGCATCACCGATGCATCGCATCCCTATTATTGTATTTGTATATACACACATCCATCAACGCGGACAATTCATTCATTGATGTTTCTAATAATATATAGCTAGTCTAGTCGTGAGGATGGAATTAGTTAGTTAGTTAGTTAGTAAGGTTAGGTTAGGTTAGTTTACCCGGACGAAGCAATCGTGGAAGTAGAGGCGGAGGGTGGCGGGGGCGGTGACAAAGGTCTGCTGGAACTTTGCCCGGACGGCGGAGCGGACTAGTGACTCCACGTTGGGGCAGCTGTTCTGGTAGAAGTTAGGAGATAGCTGTGCCTGTGCCGACGAGACAAGAAGAAGAAGAAGGGGCGCGAGAAGGAGGATGGGAAGACGCGTATCCATTCTCTCTGTCTGTGTTGATGATGAGTATAATATTTTGTGATAGGCTATTGGTTGAGTATTCTTTGTCGACCGATCTATATATACAACTTCAAGGGTGTTTAGGTAGCTCCCCTGCACATGCAATCACGATAAGGAAGGAAGGAAGGAATGTTGAACACAAGGAGCTAGCCGGCCGGAGGACAGTTGTACAAGTATTTTATTTATTTATTTATTTATTTATGTTCCTGATAATAATGATTGGGTTTAATAATTACTAACCAAATATACGTCCGGAGAGAGTGATAAGCGATGACAATGGGCGGGGTGGGACGGGACGGGACGCTTCATTAATGAATGTGAAATATAGTACAAGGAATAATTGACTTTAAATAGTTGTATAGTCTTAAATAAATTTTGAGATGAAAGTATTATTTTAGGAAGGTCAAAAGAGGAGAAATACATGTAGATATTAATGCAAATTATGATAGAGTGAGTCAAGAATAGGATGGAACAGGTTGAAAACAATACTTATGTCCCACTCCAAACTACTGTTGGTTGACAATTTCCACTCCAAATAGGTCGGGACAAGTCATCTTGTACGAGTCGGATCATAACTTGTCATTACTGTTATAGCTGTGCTGCTATGGATCGGAAAATTGTCGGAATCGACAAAACAAGAAAATGAAAAACAAAAGCACACTGCACACTATTTACGTGGTTCACTAACACAATGTGTGTTAGCTAGTCCACGGGCAGGAGAGCCAGTTTCACTATATCGAGGAGATTACAGATTACGGAAGAGATGAGAAGTATTTATACTTCTCCACGTGGGTCTAAAGTTAATCCAATCTGGTAAAGAAAACGGTTACAGACCAGGCCCAGAACCCGAACCCAAATAACATAGAGCCTGTACAGACCAGACCCAGATTATAGAGCCAGTCGTAATGACTGATAATCCGATTCAAGTCACGTCAACAATTACATTGTTGAAATGAAGTGAGAGAGAAGGGATGTGGCATGGTGGGAGCACACTTGTGGGTTCCGATTCCGAACGATAACGTTAATAAGAGCCACTCCAAATTGACAACTCAACTGCACATGTTCCAACCCAACTAACCAAAGACGACTTGCTGTTTTTCTATATTTGTAGGCAGAGGGTTTAAACATATATATAATCCCATCCCTCACCTAACCTCCTTCCCTCCCTTATCTGTCACAGTATTTTTTATCGGCAAAAGACAAACAGGCATGATCTCATTCTCGTCTGATGGATGGTTATTCCGCTCGCCCGCCCTTCCGTGGCCAGGAAGATTGTTCTGTCCAGTCAAGACTTGCAACGCCGTCCCTTCATTATTTCCCCGGCCTGTTGTAACAACGCATATCTCTTAAGCTCGCTCGATCGAACTATCTCGTCAAGTCAATTCAAGTTGGTCGTAATTAAGAAAGTCAATTCACAATTCATTCTCTCTCTAGTCTTCGCACAGCTATCAAGCACGCACATACAGGCCTAACTTCTAACCACCCGCCACCTAGACTCTGCCTATCTGCCGAGCACACGCAAACACCAAATTGCGATGGAGCATTAACAACAAAAATCATTATTATTACTTAATTAGCAGTCCCAACCTCTCATTTCGCTACCCCCTTCCTCCTATGACAAACGATACATCCAACCACAGAATGAGAGAGATCTCGGGTACCAGAATGCATGAGCCCCAGAAAATTTTTGCACCAGTTTTTAGCTGTACAGGATTTGTAGAAACTAATATCGCCTTCATTACAGAATTTGGAATTGGATCGAAAAAGGAAATTTCAGCTGCTCTGGAGAACCTTCTGCGGATCAAGTTGCCCACTACAGTAACTGGAAGGAACTGCAGAAAGTTCCAGTCTCCCTTTCCACTCCTCCCCTGGCTTTAGCGTGATGGGCTTCTCCACAGCTGCAGCTTCCACGCACAGCATGTGCTTGTACTCCTCATCCCCGAGATCCGCAATCGCCTTTGCCCTTTTGTCCCATGGATTCCACACAACTGCCACACACAAAATGCACAAACTCATTCGCAAGCAATTTACATAACTCTAGACTTATTGGTCCTCATCTCCAATAACATTTACTCCGTAACACAAGGCAACAGGTTGGATTCAGCATGTTCTTAAGCTAAATATGAGTTCATGAGGTTTCTAACTAACCAGCATCTGGGAGCCCATCTTTGCGCACCACAAACGTCCTCTTCTTTTCATGATCCAGAATTGCGATCTTGGTAGGGGTGCTGAGGTAGATCTTGTCAATCTGCATATGGGTCATGAGAGGTTTACAATAAGGACACACTATTACTCAAAGAGAAATCATTGAAACGCCAAAGGTGCAACTCACTTCAGATTCAAATGTTATAGCATCTCCTTGTTCTGTGAAACGCTCCTTGCTCTGTAGGTTGTCAAGATAATCAAGTGTCTCCAGACCTTCCACCCGAACTTCACTAAATATAGGCAAATATACGGGACATTAAAAGGCCATTTGAAACAAAGCAAGAACTGCTTGCAGATGGATAAGTGGACTATCAAGAAAAATGCATCCAATCAATCTTCTACGTGATGCAGATCAGTGAAGTTGTGTAATTTGTACACTCTATATGGAGGTAAATTATAATGGAAAGTATTCTACGGGAACAAGCATGCTGATAGCAAATTCAAGGGAACAATTAAGTTACTCCAGGGATAGTCAGAGTGACACAAGCTTCAAAGAAGAATTACTGTGAAAGAATCTCTGAACGCAGAAATTCAAGAATTTGAACATATATAGTTTAGCAGAGGTAAGACTTCAAGAATATCACAGGTCCAATTACCTGATATCTGATACAGCAAAGTAAGTATGATACGCAAAAGTGAACGAGAAAGGCTTCCCATCTGTGCTGGTATTCCTGACACGAGATGTCAACAACAGATCTCCACCAGGGCCCAAAGCTACCCTCAAACGGAACTCAAAGCTAAAAAACAAAAGAGAATAGTAAATAAGTATGTTGGCAACACTTCTACCCTACAATGAAATTAGTTCCCTTTGTTTTTACTTATTTGGTGGATGACCAGATACTAGCTACCTTCGCAGGTACATCATTTCTTAGCAAGTATCTCACCTATGAGGCCAGATCTTCAGATCCTCTTCAGTTGGCTTGAGAATCAGATCAACATGAGCCTTACTGGCAGAATTTGTTGGAAAAGGAGGTGGATCAGACTCGATGCTCCAGACCCTGTTCCTAGCAAAACCATGTGATTCCAGGCCACCATGACTTGCAAACTGCGATAAACAAACTCTCATGAGGGAAGATGAAGTCATTGAAAATGGTAGAAACTCAAGAGTTGCAGTAAGCACATACTTGAGGAAAGCATATAGGAATGCCACCACGAATAGGCTTTGGAGGTTTGAATACAGCCTGAAGACGCATCAATTATTATAAGTCGGTGAGTACCAAGTACAGGCTTATAAGATCAAAAGCCTAAGAAGATAGATAGACAGATAAAGACTGTGAACCCTAACAAAACCACAGACAAATCAAGTTAGAATTCCGCCAGGTTAAAATAAAGGAGAGGGGATTTTGTATGACCTTACTGCTTACGAAGAGCAACTCCTCCCCGTGGTCATTTTTCCATGAAGTTACATGACCACCATACAAGTACACCTGGAGCGTCAAAATAAATAATCGCAAAGGTTAGCAAACTTGAGTGCAAGAAAAAGAAAAATTAGAAATAACTCACACAGTCACTACCACCAAAGTCGAAGAAGGAGAACCAGTAACAAAAAAGAGCATCCTATGACCGTCAAAAGGTAAAAATTTGCATTTCCAGCCACCAAAGGCAAACCAAAGTACCAAACATCATCAGAAGGCTCTACAACAGTACAAAACAAAGTAATAATTTTGAAAGTCTTATATTCCTTCAAAACAACAAAGTTTATGGGTGAGAATAGGACTTATCACATGACAATGAGAGGTCATATAGACGAAATGATAGAGTAAAAGACATGATGGATTATCTCATCAAGTATACAGAAGATGATCCATGCGTTCAAAGGCACAACCACCAATTTCATCTCAAGCTAAACTTATCCAGCCAACTATGCAGCTAGAAATCTTGAGCACCGTCATCTTATCCTAACTTTCAGGCTCAAACACTTTAACACAATCTCAGGGGCGACTGCCCGGTCTAACAGGAAACAGATGAGTCTTACGGTAACATTTCAAGAATCCTTCAGAGTACAACTCATGAAAGATACGTAAATGAAGTCATCAAATCAATCCAGAAACAGTTTCAAAAGCCAGTAAGATTAGCTCTGAACTGGATCAAATGCACAATCTCCATTCTAAACCTAGCCATCACATTGTCCCCAATCAAGGGAAGAAACCAAGTAACCAACCAAGGCCTAAACCAAACTTCCACTAAACCAGACTTCAGGATCATAGGCATAACCGTTTCAAGCCATAGCGAAGAGATCTGGACTAGCGACGAGGCAAAACCGAAGGCAGATCAAAGAAAGTATCAGATCGCATTTGCAAAGATACTATGGACGAAAACCGCAATCGAGATCAGTGGGAGAGCAATGTAAGAAATGAGAAGAGCAGATTGCAGTTACCTCGGCAGAACTCCCACGAGCTTCACGGAGCACCACCTTGTCGAGGCCGTTGATGCCTTTGCACATCTCCATGGGTAACTTGTCGCCACCAGCTGCAGCCATGACTAGAGAAGGCGAGAACAGTCTTCCACTCTCAGAAAGGCACTGCTTCCCCCTCCGGTTGGCCTTGGCGCGGTTGAGGAGTACGAGTCTTTAAAAAAGGGCCGTGCCAGCGTCAATTCACCATTATCAACTCTCCTCTCCGTCTCCGTCACGGTGAATTGGAAACTACTCTTTCTGTTTCTTTGTCGCTCTTCTTTCTTCTTCCCTCGAGTCGATTCCCGATTTCAATGCTTGAAAAATTTAGATTTTGCTCTTTTCTTATTTCCTTATTCTTCTTTCGTTACCCGGTAGCCGGAAGAGAAGAAGCGCGTAATTACGTAACTACCCGCACTTTTTTACGGGAATTTCGAACTTATTTTTAACTCCAGCTGCCCTTAATAATATCCATATTAGTATGCACTATGCACAAGGGACGGGTTATTTTCCGTTTCCCCGCGGACAAAAGTCACTATTCATTAATGAGATCCCGGGTTCGATTCACAAAGGCCGCAACTTTTCTTATTCCTGCCCTTCCTTCCATGCTCCAAAACACGTCGTTTTGCCCCAACATTTTTACCCACCCTAACCCTAGAAACCTCTCGCTTGCTCGACCGACATCTCCATCTCCTTATCCTTCCAGCAGCCCCGCCCCATCATCACATATAAGTTAGTTTAATACTTTGTAATACATAGTGATTTGGATGTTGAACTTCTTGATTTGTGGCAATTGGCAAGTTTAAGATTGAACACATTTGTTTATGACTACTTCACCACTACACTCAACATCCTACTTTCCCAAATGACATTCATATTGGTGATCTATTGACAAAGAGACTATTATCTATTGATTGAAAAGAGTTCAATATTTTGGAGATCTATCATATAAGTTTTTTGCAATTGACTGTGTTTATTATTAGGTGACCGATTCGAATTTGTATGGATTTTTTGCTTGTCCTTCACTATCGCCCCTTTAATGCAAGTTGTGTTAACACTCCTCCATCTTACCAACTAAACTTACATGGCCCTCTTATCTAACACAATAGACTAACAGAGGGTACATCACCACCCCTTTTAAGTGTAAAGAATTTGGTCTTGCTGTAAGCAAATGCTTGCTTTATTAACATCAAACAATCAAGTAGGAACCCTCTAACACAAAGAAAGAAAGAAAGAAAGAAAGAAAGAAAGAAAGAAAGGCACTCCCTGCCTTCCGGTTCTTTTCTTCAATCTGTTTATTGAACAGACACACCAAAATAAAACTAGAGATATGGTCACGAAAGTGTTTTCTTCTTCTTCTATACAAAAAAAAAAAAAAAAAAACACACACACACACACATACACACACACTTCCATCTCCCATATACTGAGGCATGGAATGATACACTTGACACTTGAGTAGAAAAGTGAAACAAAAGGCTCTAATTTTATAGCTACCTCACTCGAGCTAACATCAATTCCGTCTTCTTCTTCAATCAAATGAATCATAGGAAAGAAAGACACCCCAACCCCGCAATCAATCGAAAGAAAGCTCACAAGCAAACTTTTGTTCTGTTGTGACCTCATTACAACCAAAAAGAATAATAATTTAAAAAAAAAAAAAAAGAGGAAACCAAACCACCTGCCTAAAAATAAATATATTACTCAAACGAATAAATCAAGAGAGAGCTACAGAAGCAAATCAACCCACCACCAGAAAAATATATATATGGGAAAAATGCACGTTAACTTCCTTGCATCAGTCGACAAATCAGAGAGAGAGAGAGCTTCCTGGGTGGGGGGTCAGAAGCAGCTAAAAATGCACTGATTGCTGTCCCTTTTAGCTTGTGTGCTCAACCAAATTTCCTGACTGCCACAACCAGAAAAAAAAAATGCCCAAAAGGAAGAGGTAAGAAGAAAGCATTATCATTATCATTATCATTCTATAGATATGATGAATAAGCAAATTCCCCCCTCTCTCACCTGCAACCTCGAGTATGGAGACGCAAAGCCGAAAATAACCAGATGCAATGAAGCATGCAAGCTCAGAACAACTGAAGTGCCATCTTGAGCTTGTTCTGTTTCCATTTCGGCAACTTGTAGAATGCGTCCTTACCCATCCCGAATTTCTCCTTGAACTCCGAAGATGATAGGTAAGTCTGCAAAAAATTTACCATCAAAGATACATTGTAACAACACTTGCAACAAAATGGCATCCCGAACTTTAACATGAATGCTAACGTGACTTCCTTCTTGGATTATATGTATTTTACCTCACGCTTTGTCACATCAATGTCGGCAACACGATCTTCCGCATTCACTGTAAGGCGCTCGTATGGATAAATCGGCAGCCCTTCCTCATCTTCAGGTTCGTTCTCCTTCACGTCTTCCTTTATTGTCAAAGATCCAATCCTGCTGCTCATATAGTCCCCTCCTTCGGACTCCGACTCGGGTGTTGATTTCGGACCTTGAGGGCTTGCTGCTTCATTCATACACCAAGACAAATCAATTATGTAAGTAAGCTTCGACTATTCTTTCAAGCAAAGGGATATTTCGGTTTGTCCGTTACCCTTGACTGTTCTCGCCATGATCATTTGTCGAGCAGGTAATGGTTGTTCAAAAGTTGCAGTGAGTGCTGCTATGGCGGCAGACTTGGAAGCCAGCTTCGAAGAATCTGGACTTGCGCTACCAGACTTGGGATAAATTTTACGACCCATTGGTGGTGGAGTGGACAGGTTGCGAGCATTAGCATTCTCGAATGTGGCAGCCAGCGCATTGAAAGCTGGAGATCTTCCCCTTGCACGAGCTCTTTCGGGACTGAATGACACACTTCTAGAACGTTGTGATTTCTCTGTGCCGCCTGACCTCCCGCCATACGAGGCTGCTGGTCTCCTTTTTGGTTTCTAGATCATCACATTGATGATAAATTGTGAACTGAAGGAAAACTAGACCTATTATCTGGGCACCAATATGGTTAGGAAATGGAAATTGTAAGCTTACATCTATAATTGGAGTTCCACCTTTCAGAATAGTGAGTCTCCTTTGGAACGAGTTTCCAACCATCTGCATTCAAATTTTGAAGCATATTCCAAATGTCAGAGGTAAAAGGTAGTACTGATGGATTTGGCATATAGGGCATGCATGTTATTCACTTACTGCAGGTTTTGCTGAATCCCACGTGAAAAAGCGAGTGAAGAAAGTTGGTTCACTCCCTTCGATGACCACGTAAATTGGAGTTTCATGTGATAACTTTTCCAACAGGAAGTCATTCTCGATAAATATCTGTCAGAAGAGAGAATTGATGAAATCGGGAAAAGGACTGTTGATAAACGGAACTTCAAAGGCTTTATTTACTTATTTAGTCACTTTGTGTGAGCTAGAGAATCAAAGTATCATACTATTCCTATTCAATAAGAAAGTATTTTGCATACCTCGCCTATAGACAAAGCTTTTGTTTTGCTCTTGGAGTCAACCTGTTGCCCCACCCATACATATATTTCAGAGTGACAATCAAGGATGAATATATCTTCTGTCATTAGATCATCCTGGCTGAAGTTATATATCTCAGTTGCCTGCAAAAATAAATTATATTTCTTAGCATTACTCAAGTCAACTGGAGAGCCCAGATAAGACTTTATGTGAAGGACCATACACGATTCTAAAAGGTATACATACCTTCAGTGTTCCTTCTGGTAGCACACATCAGAATTAAATCAGGAGGGGTAAAAACAAAATGGAGCAAAGATTAGCCATCTAGTCAAAAAGAAAAGGAAATAAATGTAAGTGGGTGGAAAAGGTAGCTTCTGTACCTTTTGAGAACGTGCAAGAGAATAAATGAGGATCAGTCTCAGCTTCCTTTGCAATTTTTTGACTAGAATGTTCAGTTTTTCCACCCAAAAGATCCCAAAATTGCTCAGATTCCGACCCTTCCTTTTGCGGCTTCGATTGTAAATTTGGCTGTAGTTTCACAAGAAATAAGAACAATCAGCAAGCAGACGAAGATAACCCATATCACATCACTGAACCAGAGAGAGAGAGAGAGAGCTCCTTATTCTAGCATGAATTAGAGTGAATGCTTCTTAGTTTTATCTTTGGTTCTATGTTAAATGATTCTGCTTGCAAACCTTGAGCAGCTATTTCACCACACATTTCTCAAAGCAAATGAATGAGTAGAGCTGAGAAATCAGAGCATGGTAGACGAAATTCCGAAGGAAGTTGATAAGAGGAGATAAAGTATCAAACCTTTATCAGATCTAGCTGTCTCTCCACAACTTCCTGGTCCTCTGCCGAAGTAAGGTTCCCAGACCATGTAAAGACTGTTGGGCCATTGTGCAATATATAGCAGTAGGAGGAGTTCAACGATGATGCTACCTGAACACATTTCATGGTATGTTAACAAAAATTGAATAATTATATGTAAGAATTAATTTCAAGAAGACATTTTAGAAACTGAAAACAGCTTGCCGTACTGGTTCAACTTGTATTGCTTGCATATTTTCTGGGCCAGTTCCTTGAATCCGGAATAATGCAGTACCATCCTCACTGTATGTGTCATCTGCGAGTTCATTATCCTCAATATGCTTCTTGTATCCAGCACTAAGACCACCCTGATAAACATACATACCCCTTAGGGGAAATTTGAAAAGAGAATAACTTGGAGAGTAGCTAACACCACCAATGCTGGTCAAATTTTTTAAACCCTAACCTTAAAGACGATGAAGCACTGAAAAATTGAAAGGAACTGAATAGTTTCCGCTCCTTCACAGATGCGGGCCTATGGATCAGAAATGAAACAGGTCAGAAACAGTTATGAAGGAGAGAGTTGTTATCAGTATAACAGACATCAGTGTTAAAAGGCTACCTGGGCCGTCAGAAACTTCAGTGACTCAACCATTTTGCCTGCCTGTGAAACAGAAGAAGCTCTTTCCTCCTACTTGAAAGCAGAAATGTGCATCAAAACATAAGCTAATCAATCAAGTCATATGCATCTAATATGGGTAACCTGAAATAAAAGCATTTAAATTCTTTGTGCAACATAAAACGTGCCATCAAACAAGTTCTAGTCAGTAGTGAGACAATAACCCAGCTTCGCGCTAAAATGCTTGAAAGATTTACCTCAACGCTCTGCTTCCCAAACCATGTTCCAATTAGATACTCCTCTCTGTCTTCTCCCGGATATGCATATTGGAAAACATAGCAATCCCCACTATAGAACTTAAACTGATCTGAAGCTGGAAGGAGAACCTTGTCTTCTCCATTCACTCTCCAAACCTGCGCCAAACCACGATAAATACAGTTATCACCAGAACTATCATATCCAGAAGGGAACCTGCATGCTTAAATGATTTCTCTGGTTTTAGTTATCTAGCGTCTATTCCTTGCAGGTTCATTGATATGGTCCAGGCACAGCAGAGAACATTCCCTAGCTTAAATTATTTCTTTGGTTCCAGTTACCTAGTTATTTCCACTGGTAGATTGTCGATAGATTTACTTAATTTTTGACAACAAATGTCACACTTAATTGGTTAAGGCTGTTTGTTCCATTAAACCCAAAGTACTTCCACCATGTAATATAGGGTGGATCTACATGTATCCTAATCCTTTCAGATCAATGTAGACGAGAGTGAAGCCGAACATGCACCTGCAAATTTCCTGTAACATCAATATGTGGTTCTGTTTCTTCTTCTTTTGAAGGAGCAGATTTCACAAGGCCCTTGACATTTAGCCCCTGGCGTTTTAGGAGTGCTGCATAAACATTACAAAGAGAAAGCGTATACTTGAGAAACAGGGCAGACAAATAGTGAGGTTACAAAGTCGAAATATTGCAACTTGCTGACCTGCAACTTTCCCTCTGCCATCCTCAGCTACAGCTACATCAGTTGTCTTGGGCCAGGATGTAAACTTTGACCGAAACATCACAGTCTCAAAACCCTCCATCACTCGGATTATGTGGGATTTCGGTCGATCAGCATTGTGAACTATCTCCTGACCAGTGAGATCAACTATAAGAAAATAGCACCTGGAAATTCATGTAATGATATCCATACTAGTTGAGAAGAAAAAGATCATTACTTCAGCTGATTTGCTTGCATTCTTCCTTTCATCGAGATTGGTGTTTCTTCCCATCCATACAAAAACTTCCACTCCACAATCAAGAACAAAACATTTGTTTGTGTCTAGCAACTCTCTGGTAAAAGTATCTGCTTCAACTTGCTCAGCTTGACCTTTTTCAATGCTATCCAAATAAATAAAGCACTGAAGCTCAAACATTGTCCCGACGGAAAACAAACAACCAGCGCAATTATTCATCCAACATTCAGTGTCCAGTACGAAGGATAAAGCAATACATTTTGCCTTCTCCCTCTATTCAAACCAGTTGTCAACAATTTTACTTTCCACTACGAAATATAAAGCAATACATTTTACGCATACCAAATAAGTAAAAGAAAAGGAGATTTAAGTCCAAAGAGAAAGGAACATAAAGCATGAAAAAAGGAAACATCATGATGATGAAATTTTTGTGACAATGGATAATTGGTGATATAGCTAGAAAGAAAATTGAAGATAGAAGACAATGGAGTTAAAGGAGTTACCAAAATAGTCTGGTCTCATCAGAAGCAGACAATTTATCCTCATCACTGGCTGTTTTACGTGGAAGTGGAGCAAAGCCACCAAAGAAACCCCAGAACTCCCCCGTTTCAGCATCAGCCATCAATCTTCCATCCTCTGTTCAAAAAGACATCGATATTAAACCTCACGAATGAAGCAGCTAACTCTGAGTATATGGAATAATTCTCAACTTACCAATGGAAGCTACCTCACATTTCCCATCATGATATGTGTCTTTGATATATTGGACCACTTCTAAGGCTTTGGCTCTCTCTTGTATGGATGAATTGGAACCATTAAATTGAAAAATTTTAGATGTGGTATCAAGAATGAAAATATCATCATGGTTTAGGGAAGAACGAGCAAAAGGAACCTGCACCAAGACTAGACGATTAGGGAAGAAAAACATTCGACTACATGCAAAAGTTTACTCTTAAGACACTTGCCTCCTTCACATGGACGACATGTTTTCCTTTGCAAACGAACAACCTTGTCTGGTGCTCTTCGGCCTCAACATGTTTGAATCCAGATGCTGTTCCACCTTCTTGGGGTATGATGCATGGCTTAAAATAAGATAAGAACTTCTCAGTTTCATGGCCCTGGACTTCGCGATACTGTACTGCACGGCCTCCGAGAGCTGCATCAAGCTCTACTGTTTTGATGGCAGCAGCACCTGCTTCGTCCTGTTTCAAATGCATCACAAAATCATAAGTAAACAGCAGGAAACTATGGATTTCAAGTGCTGATAGAATATACAAATGAAAGCTAACCTGTGAGGTATCTCTACCAAGCCAATAGTGTATATCTTGGCGCAGGGCACCACTTTTTAAAGCAGTAGTCTGAAGAGACAAGGGCACAAACATATTAGTGCTATTTTAGAATGGATTTCAATGCACCTTCCGATAACCTTAAAGAAATTGCACAGTATGAGCAACGAATAAATTTTAATACCATGAAGCCTTAAATAAACCTTCTTACAATTCTAAGTAAACAAATGGAGTCCACCACTTCCAAATTTTTTGATGAATCACCACTTCCAAATTGGAAAAGAAAAAGATTGATGATGCTAAAGAGGGTGAAACTGCACCCACCTCTTACTCTGCCAATACTAATAGTCATTATTTTGACTGAAATTCTCAACCTCTATGGTTCAAGAACCTACTACTACCAATAGACTTTAAAGAACATAAGTGTAGAAGGAACCATGCACTTCACGAGTAATTTCTGCATTAGTAAAATGATGCATATATTTCAAATTCATAAATCATAATGCGAATGAAAGCAATAAATAAGAGAAAAACATACCTTCAAAATAATATAGGAGTCCCCCATCAAGAATTTTCCATAAGAAGCCTTCGGAATAGCAACTGGATTAAAGTTTTCGATCCGCCATATCTCAAGACCACTAAATATTGTTAAGGCCAGCAGTCATTAAGAAAAGGGAAAATGTAGTAAAGCTAATTCAATCTAACATCAACACCATGCAAACAAAAGAGAAGCTAACTCGAAATGGGTAATAGTTCATCAGGCAAAGGATACGCTTTTTGTCCAGCTCCTTGAAAAGCTGGATCCAAGTCTCTCATCGAAACAGACATACTGTTTCCGCACTTAGACCTCCTCCACTTCAATTTTTATTGTTACAGGGCTAGAGGTGTCCTGCAATGACAAGCAGTGCAATTGGTCATTCCATGACATTGACAAACTATTTAGCACTTTCGATTGTAAAAATGGCAAAAGTTTCACCAGAATGCATCTAATCCATTATTTAATAATTCAAGCATTCGACATATCTTGCATATACTGGTTGGAACTTCCCCTGTGAGTATAACCATCACACCAAATTCGATTCGAGGCAGCCCGAAATCCCTGCTATCACTAGGTGCTGACGAAGTGCAAAACACATTTCCCAACATTTACCCCGGGAACGGAGATCACATTTCGCGCGAATTTGCGGGTAAACCCAAAATGAGAAATCATTGCCGGGCACAGAACACCTAAAATTCGACACGAAAAGCACTCTAATCGATGAATAACTACTAATTATATAATAGCGAGAAGAAAACCAGTAGGCCTATATGACACCATTATTATGCATATTTCGATTTGCTAAACATCGAAATCCCGCACCGCCCGCCATCACCATCGCCCACCCGCCAAACAGTTTCGTGGGAGGAGAAAACAGACATAAAGAAGAAGAAGAAGAAGAAGACCGAGGTGGAACGAACTCAATCTCCGACGCATTCCATGGCGGAATTGCTGAATTCGACCAATTACAAACTGAGCAACCGGGGGAAAGAAGGGGGAGATTTGCATTTTGAACTGGAAAAAAGGGAAATCCAAACAGAGCAAAAAGAAAAAAAAAACAAGCAGCGTCGAGACAAACAAAAAAAAGCCAGAATCAGATTCGCTGTAATATCATTCATCAATTCACAACCCTTCCCATCCGCCATTCCACCAGTCGAGTCCATGGGAAATCAAACAAGAGGGAGAAAACAAAATTGGAATTTAAGGAATGTGGTTGAAGAGACGAAGCCTACCTGGGTATATGTCGTTGGAAAGGAAATGGAAGGGACTACCCAGATCCAATCTAAGCGAGCAAGCAGCAGCAGCAACGGAATTAGGGACGAAGATGGGACAATTATGAATCTCTTTTCCTGGTTTTTTCTTTTTCCTCCTTTTTTTGGTTTGTTTGGATTTCCCTACTCTTCTTTTGAGCGGGGGAGGCAGCCCAAAGACAAAGGAAAAGCTGGCAATTGAGGAAAAAGGGTGAGAGAGAGATGGAGGGGGGAGAGTGGGGCAGGGAGGAGAAGGCGATAGAGAGGGAGAAAAGGCGCAAACCGAAGGGGGAAAAGAGGGAATGAGAAAAATAGCAAATGAAGAAATGGAGCTGGAGAAGAGAGAGAGAGAGAGAGAGACTGAAGAAAGAATGGAGGGAATGATGAGTTTGCCAGGCGTGCAAATCACTAACCGGCACCAGAAGTTTACCAGACTGTTAAAAATCTTCTTTTGTCATACTTTTGGTCCTCGAACTTTTGGTCATTTCTCTCTAAACTACTATCAAAAATAATTTTCCTGCTATCATCCTCCATATCAATAAAAAAAATTAATTACTTTTTTCGTCAATATGTCTTTTGTTGACTAGACGTATTGTTCATCGACTTCGTCATTGGCTCAGTTGGAAAATCTACTCACTTTATTCCTTCATTTATTGTAAAAGTTCATTATCTCTTATCTATTGTCTTTACACATGTATTGTTAGATAGAGGATTGAAACACATATGAAATTAACATTATGCAAGGGTACGTTGATATTGGCTTAACTTGTTTTGTTGATTAGTGATTCGGGTCCAATTGTGCACATTTTGTCCCTCATTCCTTGATAGTTTGACTTTGCATTTCATCATATCTCGACATATTTCATGCTAGGTTGTGCTTGCATTGATATATTTCAGGTCCTAGCACGTGCGAAAGGGTCGAGGACGGGTTCCGGGACAATTGGATGTCAAAAAGCACAAAAACTGAAGAAAAGTCCAAATGGCAGTGAAGCGCGGGCATCCAGGAACCAGCCGCAGTTCACGGTCGCCAGGACCGTGAACTGAGACCACAAACCATGAACAACGAGGCGTCCAGGGGGGGTTCCAGATGTTACTGACGACAAGGCAGTTCACGGTCGCTAAGACCGTGAACTTTGAGCACAAACCGTGAACCTCGGGAAGTGAAGCGGTGCGTTTTGGCCACGACACTGAATTCACGGATGCGTTTAGGTGTTCACGGCTGCGATCTCAGTATAAATGGAGAGCTGAAAGGATGAAGAAGGGGGAGCTTCATTTTTTAGGTTAGGTTTTCATTTTCAGAATAAAGAGAATTCTAGTGAGAGGTTAGGGTTTCTTCTAGAGTGAGATAGTGCAAATCAAAGGAGGAAGGAGCTTTAGGCTTGTTCTTAGATAGAGGATTGAAGATTTCTTCATCTCAAGGGTATCTCAAGCAATAAGGAGCAAAAATTGGCATCACTTCATGGTTCTTTCTTCCCCTTTTGTTGTTTTCTCTTGCTTAGATATGGAATAGCCTATCCACTCACTTGAGTATTGTGAATCCTAGAATCTTTAGGTGTTAGGATGTAAGAACATGAACCTATTGTGTTGATTGAGTGTTTTATAAGATATTTGAGGTATTATTGATGAATGCTTGAGTGTGCTAGGTTAACTCAATATCCGGTAAAATTGACCTAGAGGGTGGAAATCCCCTTTTGGTCCAATAGGAAGCTAGACTTCTTAGCCACTTGGGTATCCCCCGTTATGTCGATTTAAGACCAAAATCTCAAGTGTCAGAGTAGGGTCGTGATTCCACCGGTATTGCTCTCTCCGCCGACCGGATTAAGTTACGAGGGGTTGGGTTGCAATCCTTAGTCGGCTAGTTGAGAGGGTTAGGTTTCCTAGCCTATTGTTGTCACCCTTAGCAGAAAGGTTAAGAGAGTTAGCTTTCTAACTTGTTGCAACGATTCTCAATTAGTTAACTAAGAGAGTTAGGGATCTCCTTGGTTGATCGGTAAGGAGGGCTAGGTTCCCTAGCTATGAATCACAATCCTTGACCTAACGGTTGAGAGAGATATTTCCCCTAGCTTATAGTTGTTGATTTTTCTTCATTGATCGACTAAGGGAGTTTGTTCCTAGCTAGTTGCGCCCATCTTGTGGTGTATGAACACTTCCTGCACACTATAGCTTTGTTTGTAGGTTCTTAGCATGAGACTAGGGGGAGCAATACCCAGGTGAAGTCCTCTCAAGTAGAATTCTCCTCCATTTACTTTCCTTGCTTGTTTAGTTTGTAGTTTTCGTAGTTTTAAACCCAAAACTGTTTTGCCAGATAACAACTTAAGCGATTGAAGTAGGGGTACATGGACCGGCCCGGGTTTGACAATTAAATACTTGTCCTATACTGCACCCGACTAGAGTTTAAAAACTTGGGCTCTAGTCGGGATTAATTCGCGATGTAGTTTCGTGCGAGTACATTATACATCAAACCATCACACAATCAATAACACGAGTCTTATTTTGATGATTGCCCATTGAAAATCATGTGAAAGGGACTTGATCGTAAAATGTGGTTGATGTCGGGACTATAATAGTATCAATTTCAATTCGATGATTTAAGTTGGCCATTTTAGCTCTAAAATTCAAGAATATTATATTTCCCGTTTTGCCTCAAATAAATAAATTATAATTGCATATCAAATTGACAACGAGCTAGGTTGAGATCGGTGATTGGAAGACCACTAACATTTCTTTTCTTTGAACACATAATTATACAAGTCTAAGTCCAAAATAGACAATGCTTTAGTTAAGGGGAAAGTTGGTGGCTGGCTGGCTGCTACACTAGCTGGTTTATGGACCTACAAAAAGGAATGCACTTTCCTAAATGTGTTAGGCGTACGTAAGGCGGTTTTAAAAAGACATTAGACTAACGAGATGGGTGTTCGAGCCAGTGTTATTAAAGTCGCGCCGAGCCGTTCGGCCCGACCGGTGAAACCGCCACCCAGTCACAAAACCGGTTCGAAATAGTCTAAAAGTCACTCCGGTTTTATGTAGCGGTTGACGAGCGGCCGAGGCAGTTAACCGCTCGAGCCGCTTGCCCGGTTTTTGCCATTCAGCCGTTAAATTTTATTAAAAAAATTACAGAAAATTAAAAATTGAAATAAAATAAAAAAGTCGTGCTCTCAAACTGAATTCTTATTTCCATTTCACAATTTCGAAGGAAAGAGATGAGCTCTGATTAAGAAATGTCCACTATTTATACTGATAACGTTTATTAGGTATCGGTTCTCTAACGGTTTTTAAACGGTCTAATGCCGGTTGGACCACTAAAGTGCGAGCCGTTCGCATTACCAGGTCATGCTCCAGTTCGGTTCTGACAACATTGGTTCGAGCAATGCTTATTATTCCCTAGTTGTGGGAATGGAACCTATTAGGTTTAAATAGAAATAACAACTTTACCTCACTTTCGTGTTAATATGTACTTTAGTTAACTGTTCACACTAAGGAAACACATGTCACCATTAGTAGTGTGCAATAGTTTGGTATGAACCGAACCAAACTCATGAGAACCGCGATTAATTAATAAAAGACATATTAGGATCAAGGACCAGACTATTATTACATTCAATCCATTTGGTCCAATTTTATCTGGTACAAATATAAGTTCGGTCCATCATTTTTTTTTAATCCAATTGTCGATTTGTTCCGATGTGATCCGGTACGAACCATGCCGTTGCACACCCTTAATCATCACTTACTAGAATCACAAGCTAAAGTAAAAAACACAAACTATCATAAACCCATTATCAAAGTTCATTCATCGTTCAACTAGGTCCATCTATCCACCACTTAATCTTCATTATACTCAAAAGCAATATCATTCTCATCTTCCTCCTCTTCAAACTCGAATTATCATTATGAAGCTCACTCACTTTTGCACTTCTACGTGTCCAAGATGTTTATTGATCCAAAAAACTCGATGGCACAATGTCTCCTCCATCCTCGTACAAACATGGTTCAAATATTTTGTCGTGTTGTTTATAACATGGCGCTAGCAGCTCGAAAAGAGAGAGGAGCGGGGAGTTGAATCTTTATGTGACAATGTCGTTTGTCCTTCTTCATATGAGTTTAATTTTGTTATTCACAGTTTGGCCATCTCCACATTAGTATCACTCCATTCAAGCTAAACGCTTCTTTTTTATGCCTAGATGTTGCCTGACATCGTTGAATCATTTCACATATCTTTTGCACAGTTAAAATGTCCGGGCAATGTATTTTTCGGCTTGCCTAGTGGCTAGGCGAGCACTTAATAAGGCCTTCTCAATTATGCTAATTATGTGGACTATCTACAATAGTAGAACAAATATCAATTAACATTGAACTTGAAATATGATCTAAGTTGGTTAATGGTTAAAACAAATTATGGATGTGATAGCCTGATTGCAATCAAATCAACAAATGGTCAACTGGGAGGTGTTATGTTTGATTGTGTTTGCTTGCTTCTAGGCCCTTTGATTGTTCAATTTAAAAATTAAGAACACATAATTCGCTGTGTACCAAAAAGTGTGATGTACTGATGTTGCCACCTGTCCGACCACTTTGACTACACATTGGGCATTTTGTCCACAGTAGCACTAACCATTATCCGGATTTTGGAACCTTGCGAGCCAAGCCCAAGTATGTGTTATAGATAATGGCCCACGTTTCAATTAACGAGAAGGGAAGGGAAGGGAAGGGAAATGATGAGAAAGGCCTAAAACGACTTACCGTTCAGCCCAAATCACTACAGGCGGCAAGCGGAGTCATAAGGGAGGGTGCCAGGAACCGACGAAGGCGCCGGCAAAAAGAAACGAAGGCAGAGCGAGCGAAGAATTGCAGCAGCCGAGCTCTCGACAATGGATTCTCTGGTAGCTAGCTACGGATCTTCCGACGAAGACGAACCCCAACAGCAAGAAGCCGTCCGCCATGAAAGGCAATCATCCAGCTATTCTACCTCTTCCCAGTCCTTACCTCCAGCGCGACCTTCTCTCCCTCTTTTTTCCGTCCTTCCGCGCCCTAAATCCTCTTCTTCTTCTTCGCCGTCGCCGTCAATCTTCTCTTCTTCGCTTCCTCCCCCCAAATCCCAAAATTCTGCCGCTCCCCAACCCCTCTCCAACCGCAATCCCAAGCGAATCGTCCAATTCAAACCCCCTCCCCTTCCCACCTACCCCGACGACGAAGACGACGATGAAGACGAACGGCCAGCTCGCCCAAGCAAATCAACCGCCGTCGATTCTTCTTCCGTAAAATCGTTCCTCTCCAGCATTCCCGCTCCAAGAAGCTCCTCCGCCTTGGGCGCCC